CCAATCAGATGTTGAGAAACTTTGCCTTTTGATCTTTGAGTTGGATGCTCCCATCTTTTTTGAATGGATAACCTACATTGATACAACACCATCCCATTGTTCAAGTTATATCTCTGGATGCTGTTTCAAAAAGTCCCCCAGTTCGGTTCGCCTGAGCTCTGAATACAGCTTGTCATCCAACATCTTCATCATGGTTTTGCCACCAAGTTGGTGTATCTGGTAAGTATATCCCATCCACTCCCAAAATCTCGATAAACCCAGCTCTTGCTGACTTTTGTCAGCAACCACTCTCAGATCTTCCAGTGATCCAAGGCGTTTCATTTCAACAGGAATGCCCTTCTCCTGTTCATAGATTGCTGCGATCTCCTTGATACTGTATTCCCAACTACAATATCTGTACACCCCATCTGTCCGTGATTGGTCACAGATCAACGCCGCAGTGAAGTCAGCGGTGTCTTGTTCAGTTGTGATCTGCCATTTTTCATCGCCTGTGCCCCAGAACTCTGCACGCGGACTCCCGGATGCTGAATCCCAAACTCCATGTGTGCTTGGGTTGAATACTCCATGGCCGGGCAAGGAGTAGAATGTCTCAGCGAAAAATCCGATGAATATATAGAATGGTTTAATTCGGGAAGACATGGCGAGCTGACGCTGGAACGCCAGGAAGAGGTCATAATACACAATATCACCGAATGAAAGGGCCGACCAGTCCAGGTTCCATGTGGACGGCACGAATCGCTGTCCACGAAGCATAGGGTTAGCTTATTATTTGGAGCCAAAACAACATGGGTGTTGGAGGTCACCGTTATGCCTTGCTCCTCCATCAACCTCACGAGCAGCAGCTGAGCATCCAACGCGAGCTCCGGCACTGGCCCATACGCGCAAATGACAGCATCAACGCCGTTCAGCGCCCTCTTGATGGCCGGCACGTCGTACCAAGCTTCCATTTCGTGGAAGCTTTCCAAAGCCTGCAACTTCTCTGGGGCGAGTTTGGATTTGTTCCTCGCCAGTCCACGCACTTGAGCTCCGTGCTCTTGGAGGGGGCTGATAAGCTTCGTTCCCACATTTCCAGTAATTCCAACAATGAGGACCAACATAGTGGGCAAAAGGGACTTCGATTAGGTGCTTATCTGACAGAATACGGCTGCATCAATGGAGTATTTATACTATTTAAGCTCGATGGCCTCTCCCCCATAATTCCGCAGTCGAAGCAGAAAGGAAGTAATGTCTGGCAGGCTGGACCAGCAAATGCTGACATCTCCACAGTGCAATGGAAGCTGGCATGAGAAGAATGCTCGGCCGAATTAATACTCGTCCCCCCTTGATTTGGCGCAGCCTCGGCGGATCCGAATTCGGACCGATTTTCTGACAACATTCCTCCAAATGCCGACATCCTCCTCCAACAGAGACCCCATGGGGTCACATCTATGACCAGATTGTATCAGCAGATACGCACAGTTTGAAGAATTCAGCATTCTTTGAGTCGTCGGAGCATTTCAGGTGACGTCCGCATCTGCAGATAATAGCACTGTCACCGCCGTCGAACCCTGTTCGTGCCGGTGGAAGGTTGCTATCGGCCGACGAGCTCGCTGTCATTTTCCAATCAAGTTGTCTCATTCATAGATTTTCTAGATTAGCTGTGGATGTAGGGTTGCTAAAGGAGGCGGAAATGACGCCGTCTGATTACAAATTTTCCCTTGCTGGTTCATGGGTGGATACGACACGCGGCGAGATCAGTCAAAAGCGGATTGCAACTACATCGCGCGTCAGCTCACAGTAGAGAGGTCCAACTTCTCAATATGTGATCCGCTTAGCATGGTCACTTGGAGTCATGGCCATGGTCACGATTGTCCTTCTGGCAAGGACCTATCCATTCGTCAAGGATAGGTCTGGCCCAGCGAGCAACGCCTGGTCCTTTCCTTGGCCCTGGATCATCTCAGAAGAGGATTCTAGCAACGCTCCAAGTCCCGCATCTCCCCATAGCATAACTCCCGACCAGTCAATGAAGTCTCGTCACGAGCAAGTATCATCGGACCTGTCCGAGAATCCGCAACAGGAAACATCACCTTCCCCACTAAGCGGAAACGAAGAGCGCGGGAAGTATATATCAAGGCTAGCTTCGCGGCCAAATGATACAACGAACGAGGTGCCCTTGTAATTCCTTGTATTTCTCTTTTGTTTGCTCGGTCCGTCGGTGCTATTCCCGGGCTAACTCTGGTCGGTGTTGGTCCGCGTGGGCTTCCCGGCACACCGAGTCATCGGCTTGAAATGACCGACCAGGCTTGGTAAGGGATCCTTCCTATGGATGTGGGGGCGCCTGTGTTCGAGGAGCATGCCTCAGGATCCATTTAAGAGATCAAGGCCACATACGAGCACGTACTGTTTTCTTGAAGAGGGGGTCTCTGTTCTGACCCATTTCTCCTTTCTACATCATCTGTTGACTTCCTATTTCGGCCTATCTGTAAAACAACATGCCCGGGTACCTGATCAAGAATGGGCGGGTCCTTAGGTGGGACCAGGAACGGAAGTCGTCGTTCCCCCAGATCGACATCCTCGTGGAAGGCCAGGTAATCTCTAAGATCGGTCCGAACATAGAGGTCAATGCCAATGATCCGTCCGTTCAAGTCATCGACGCAAGCGGGTGTATTGTGACTCCAGGCTTCATCGATGGCCATCGACATGTCTTTCAATCTCAGCTTCGCTCCACGGTCAGCAACCACACTCTTCTCGAATACTGCGCCCACCTTCTGCAAGGACGGATGACGTTCCTGGAGCCCGAGGACATGTACCTTTCCCAGCTCTCGGGCACAAGCGAGGCGATTTCATGCGGTGTGACCACCGTCATGGACCACTCGCATGTGGTGACGACGCCGGACCACGCGAAGCGCTGCATCGAAGCGACCATAGAGTCAGGTATCCGGAGCGTGTACTGCGCCTCACCGTTCGCGATCCCGACGTCGCTCAACCCCATGACGCTGCCGGACATGACGGTGCACCACACAAAGCAAATCGAGCTCTTCAAGTCTCTCTGGAGTCAGCACCCTCTGGGCGGACCGGGCAATGACGGGCGTGTCACACTCGGTCTGGGCTTCGACACGATGCACTGGATCCCCGAGGCGGAGGCCAGGGAGATCCTGACCTTCGTCAAGGACAACAACATCCCCCTGACGTGCCACGACGTGCCACGCCACAACCTCCCAGCGCTCGCATTCCTGCGCGACAAATCCATGCCGCTGCCGGCACAGATCACGCTCTCGCACACCTGCGAGCCGTCGGCCGGGGAGGTCGAGTTCGTGAAGGCACAACAAATTGGCATCGTCTGCACGCCCGAGTCCGAGATGGCCATGTCCCACGGCATGCCCTCGGCGTTCGACTTCTACCGCTCCCCCAAATGCCGCGTGGGCCTGGGCGTAGACTCTCCGGCCATCTGTTCGGGCGACCTGTTCTTTCCCATGCGCTTGGCTCTCCAGCAGCAGCGCATGCGCGAGAATAGCGCCTTCCACGCGCGCGGCAAGCTTCCCGACCTGGTGCCCGCGCATACCGACGACGTGCTGTACATGGCGACGCTGGGCGGCGCGGCGGCGATCCACATGGAGTCTAAAATCGGGAGCCTGGACGTCGGCAAGTGCGCGGACGTTGTCCTCGTGCGTACCGACTCGCCCTCTATGATCGGTAGCGTCGATTTCTCGGCCGCGCTGGTTACGCACGCGTCCTCTGCCGACGTCGACACCGTCATGGTCAACGGCGAACTCGTCAAGCAGAGCGGAAAACTGCTCAAGGTCGACTGGGACGAGCTCAAGGTCAAGCTTGCGCGGAATCGCGAAGCGCTCGAGCAAAAGTTCCAAAAGGTCGATTGGGAGCGGAACAAGAATGACCTCAAGGACCTGTGGGGCGTGCGCGATGTCCTGGAGTGATTTAGCATATATAATACGGAAATGGTACATTCATGTTTTATCAATCCATCACGCTCGTCCTCTTGGGGAGGAAGATAGAAAGGGATAAAAGACATCAAGACTCTAAAGAAGAAGGAAATTAACTTTTTCTATCCACGGAATTTCTAGCATGTATACTGAATCTTGTATCCTGTTGTGCGATTCCTCGAACCTAAAGAGTTCTTGGAATCAAATTGGCAAGTTCGCACCCCAACTAGCCTTGTCATAAGAGCAAAGAAGGGAGAAACAGGCATAAGGGAGAAGATAAGAACATCGAGTATAGGGATTAACTGATTCATCATGTTTCGATTTCGTGTCGGGTCCTGCCGCGCCGAGTTGTGTGCGAAAGGGCATGCATCTCCGCTACCTAAAGGAAAAAGGGAGGCCGGAAACTGTGTTTTCATCTCATATATGCCTGCATGTATCTGAGACGTACCTGGGTAGCTCAGTCTTCATGTTTTGACATGTTGTTTCGTCCAACAAATACCTCAGGACCCAGCCTCGCCAGGTATTCATTGGCGAATCTTAATTAACCTCTCCAAAGTCCATTTCCGTTTCCAGGCCGGCGGCCCGCCTCCCCGCGATTCGACCTGAACCATGACTAAGCCACTTTGAGCTCTGGCTGTGCAATCCTGACCACGCCTTTACAGCACTATGGTAATGCTAGTGAGGCGTCGCTCCCATAGCGCCAAGCAATTAAAGCGACAGAGATCAAGCGACGGGCAAACTGGATTAGGGCTATATATCTCGTACTTAGTACATATGGAACTGGCTCGTCATCTGCAACAGCAGGGCGCAGGCTCACAAGCCGTCAGTGACGCTCAATAACTCATCGCGGCCGAATTCCATAGCCTCCTTCTCCCTCTCCTGCAAGGCTTGGGTTTCCTGTTTCGTCGCGCAATGTTTGAGCTCTTCACATCCCCGCAAAAAAACCCCACAGATCTAGCCTTCGGGATGATAGCACCTTTCGGTTTCGGCGCTGGAAAGCCATGCCGCTTGCTGCTCGCTTTCACGTGTCGCGACTAATGGGTCTTTGTGTACCTAGGTGACTTCGTGGTTATTTCGAGGATGATATACAAGATTATCGTCGAGCTGAAGGAGAATTCAGACTCTGTGGGCGACTACCAACTCATGTTGATTGAACTCGAAGCCCTTGACCGAACGCTGAAATCTGTCGAGCGTATTGAGCTTGTGCAACATGAGCTGAGAAGGCTAGACGGAATTCGGATTCTAGCGTCCACATGCCCTGCTACAGTTTCAAGAGTTCCTCGACAAGACAGGGAAGTTCGAAGACTCGTTGGGACCGTCGAATACGAAGAATCGTTCCTTCTCGTCAATAACCCAGCGATTGCGTTGGTCGACCAAGTATAAAGATGAAACTAGGGCTTTGAGGGCAAGGCTTACGCCCAATCTTGCCACCATCACAGTCCTTCTCATGACTCAGACCGTTGATACTCTGTCGAATGCGGAGTCGGATCGCTTCAAATTGGCACAAGAGCTCAAAGATAAATTTTCTTCACAGTCTTGCATCCTGACCGCACTGAGGGATTCAACGTGCCGCATCGCGAGCGGACAGGATAATCTTGCAACCCAGCAGTCGCATGTCACCACTATGGCCACAACCCAGGGCCAAGTCCTGCTGTCTCTAGAGTCAAAAGTTTCCGAACTTTTGAAAAGCAATGCTGCATACGACTTGCATTTGAGTAGCGAAACGGCAATCCTGAAAGACGTCCAGGAGAGCTGTGCACCCAAAAACACTCGGACCCAGGAAGGCATGGCAATCGCCACTCCACCCTTCAAGATACGACTGAAATCAAGTCGACAATCCCATCTCTTCTCGGACGAGTTCTGGATGTCCTCGACGATGTACTGGCGGGTGTTTCGAAGATGCAAGATATCACGACATTAATGCGTCGCTTGTTCACCCTGACGACGCGATTCACTGTCGAAATGGCAGAGACCATGGCAAAAATACTCCATGCCTTCTCAGTGATTCAAAGGCAGCTCGCCCGGTTGGAGGGCTTTTTACACCGACGAATATGCTTACCCACGGTGGTATTCCGTGACGCTTTTAATGTGATGAGATCGTTCCCTTACGATTTGTCTCGAGAATGGCGGATATTTCAAGGCTTAGTAGTCGTCGCTTTCATCGGCCGACAAGGGCTGCATCGCGTCAACATGGGTCAATATTTTGTCACCAACGTCCACACGTGCCGGCGGCTACATCCTACATTCTGGAGTCACGCAATCGAGCCAGGTGATGAATTGACAATGACAATGATCCTCGATGATGTCGAAGCAGAAAAAGGCTACTGTCCATATAAGTCATGTGGCGAGTTGACCACAGGGATTCCCTTGAGCGGGCGCGGAAGGATCTGCCCGAACTGCTTTCGCTTTGCAGTGATTTCGCGGAAGAAGATGACTTATCCTAAGAGTTGTGGTCAGCATGATGCACCCAATTCCAGTCATGACCCTCTTGTCCCGGGGCCGGATTCTGAGCTGACTCCGGGAGAGACTGCCACCTTTGAGGAAGTCAAAGAAGCAGGCCTGCCGCCTCCACTTCTTCCTCAGGCAAATATTTATGAAGAGGAAGATATCGAGCTATACCATTCTATCCAAGTCGCGCAAACTCTGTTGATCGATGAATACGAGACAAGCTTAAAATGTTGATCGAAACCAGTCCCGACCTTGACGAGTGAAGTGCAGTCTACTGAACCTAACGCCTCCACATCTGGCATGCAGATCTACGTGAGAGGGCTCGGCGGCGAAATCTTGACGCTTTTGGTCGATCCCTTGGACCGGGTTGACACAGTCAAAAAAAACAACAAAAACAAAAAAAAACAAAGGGGTGGGCATTGCTCAGCATTGCCTCGGTTTGACTTTTGCTGGTAAGCTGCGAAGAGACGGACTGATATTCGCAGACCATAATATTCAGAAACACAGCACAGTTCACTGGATCTTGAGGGAGGGGGCCAGACCTTTATTTTCCTCTCGCGGGTATGTCGAGAGCTCGGGTATGCTGATTGGAGATTGCATGACCATTTTCGTGAATGACTATCGTTCTGGGAAGATCTTGAGATTGAAAGTCAAAAATAATGACACGGTCAGGCAAGTCAAGCAACAAATCTATGATCAGGGATCTATAACTGTGGCTCAACAGCGTCTAGTATTTGCAGGGGTGCCCTTAAAAGACGACTTGAAGATCTATGAATACGGTGTATGGGAAGGAATGATCGTTTGCATGGTATTGAGGTTAAGTAGGAATTATTTCACCTGGACTTGCGTAAGACCCCCTCTCTCTGGTGCCAGCATATCTAGGAGCTAATCCTTCAAGTCTCAATACGGCAAACATCCACTCGAGATCACAATCCCAGCGTGGCCCAATTGTACGCATGATCGGTGTCAGCATTGCCATGTTGCACGTGCGAGACCTCGGGAAAGGCCAGCGTCCGGAAGGAGTTGAGTCTACATATAAGGTCTAAAATTGATTGTCCGCGCGCAGTTGGCGTGCCCCGAGCTCAGGTTGAACCGGTCTTTTGAGACTCCTAAGCGAACCGCGCGTACCACGGTGCAATGCGCCAGTGCTTGACGCGAATTCCACAGTCAACTATGCTCAGGGCGTCCTTCTCTTCTATCCGATAGCGATGGCTGAAAACATATTCCTTAGAGTCGACGCCATCCAAAGCTTGTTACGGTGCTGATCCGAAAGGTTGGCGATTCCTAGTCACGTGGCTATCTCATACCATGGATACCTACAGTGGAAATGACTCGACAGTACAGTCAGACAGGTCTTCTGGTTCTGCTGCAATATCTATCATATCCTCCATTGAGTCACAGGGTGCGGCCTCAGCGGTTGGCAGCTCTTATTGGTCATTTTCCAGCGCCAAAGCACGAAACCAATTGAACAAAATCAATGTGCAAAATAGTGGGCCGACGGGCTTGTCTCACTTCAGCAATTGAGCCGAAGGGTTCTGATCAAGCTTGTGAGAAGAACACGCCTCCTCTAGGCTCTGTCGATATCACCTGTGTGAGAGGCATCGTTCATCAGCCTCGCTAGTGAGGCTCAATCGGATTGATGGGAAGTTCTGGCAGAATTGCCTTTGTGCAGACACACAATGCCCGCAGATCTGCTGTGGCGTGCCAGCGGTGTAAAGGGAGAAAGGTTCGGTGCAACGTTACTCGAACTGGCCGGCCTTGCACAAATTGCCTTGATCATAAGACAGAATGCGAAGTCGTCCCTCGGAAGAAACATGTGTGAGTTTCACTCGGCGGTATCCGACCCCGATTCCGTGACCGTACAGCCCAGCTAAGCAACTGACCCCTTTTAGGCCTCGAGTAAGGAAAGAACCTCCATCACCCGTAGCAGAATGCCCAGCAGTACAGTCCCAAAATTACTCTCCTACTGGGGTTTCAATGCTCCGGACGCCAGATATTGCTATGCCACTGGACCTGACGCTTGATGACGACCTATTGCAACCAGATTTCAGGCAGGGCAATCAGCAACTTTTCGCCGACCGTGGGGATCGTCAGAGCGCTCTGTGTGAAGCGGTCTCACTGCCTCCAAATGGGGGAAATCCGGAAGACGAAGGAGAAAACAATGCGACTTTCGCCGAGGCACTCAATGCCAAAAGCCCGTTCAATAACGAACGGTCCTTCCATGTTGGTAAGACTCTGAGCACCTCCCGCTTAGGGACTATAATTTTTGACCTTCCAAGGCGACCCTCAAGGACTGGTTCATGCCGTGATGGAGATCTGTACGGACCAACCTCCGACACCAGGAACCATGGGAACGACCCAAAAAGTCATGCCTCAACCGAAGAAGACTTGGCAAACCAACGACTTAGTTTATTTACAGAGCAAAGGAGTCTTCTCCTTACCAACTGCGGACGTTTGCAATTCACTTGTTCGGGATTACTTCGAGCATGTCCATCCTCTGGTTCCCATAATTGATGCAGGGCTTTTCCTGTCTCAATATGCCCATAACGGGGCTTCGAGCATGAATTTACTTTTGCTATGGAGTGTGTTTCTTGCCGCCGCCAATGTATAACTCTGAAGCTGTTGCATTTAGTCAGGATGCTAAGGTTCTCTAGTTTGCTTCTCCAGAAGTGCTGCAATCTGCGGGTTATCCCTCGCGGAAAGCACTAAAACGAGCGATGTACACAAGAGCTAAGGTTGAGCGCTACCTCCCTGACCCAAGTATATAGCTAACAGCTTCTACAGGCGCTGTATGATAGTGACTACGAAGACGACAAGGTGTGCGTGGTTCAGTCTGTCACACTTATGGGGTTTTGGTATTCGGACGTTGAAGACAGAAGCGGCCCCTGGCATTGGATGGGAATTGCCATCGGATTGTGTCAGATCATGGGTCTTCATCGAACACCACCATTGGCACCGGCTGCTTCGACTATGAGGCTGAGGCAACGCCTGCTTCGCAGAATCTGGTGGTGTTGTTTCATGAGAGACCGTTGGCTGTCTCTGGGACTGGGACGACCGACGCGAATAGACCTCGAGGACTGTGATGTCCCCATGCCCGAAGCAGAAGATATAACGAAAGAACTCGAACAACTCCCTGCCGAAATTGCCAACAAGTATATGCCTGTCGCCATACAGGAGGATGCAGTTATTTGGGTGCATCTAATCAAACTCTCCATATCTCTGGGCAAAATCCTCCGGAAGCTTTATGGGAAGTCCGCGCCCAACTCTGAAAGTGACGACTTCCAAGCTTGTGAAACCGAGCTTGAGGGATGTCGGCTAGCCAAAGAACTGGAACCAGAAAATAACTATCAGTCTGAACTACTGAGAAAGGTGCAGTTTGAAATGCTCTTCGAGTTCGTCAGCACAAACATACTCTAGACGTTTGTGTAGGATTCTCACTTCGATTCTAGGGCTACTGTCATTGTACTACATCGATCGAGGATCGACTTCCGAAGTCTGCCTGACGATCCTCAGAATCCAGAACGAGCAGATTCTTTGGGCAAAGCACGGGCGGCTGCTGTCAGGACCAACAGACTCATTGAGAAGTTGATCGAAATGGACATGGTACAATATTTGCGACCGATGAAGTAAGTGAAATGCGCTGAAAGTCTTTGCATACTCTGTGTGGGGGACACTGACAGTAAACTAGTCTGACTGCCACCATCCCAGCTATGCAGATACACCTGTTTGACTGCAAATCTCGCCGCAAGCTTGCACGGAAGCTCGCCTGGTCTAAGCTCGGAACATGTATGATGGTCGTATCAGAGCTGCGCGACACTTACTGGGGTGCAAACTTCACCTTGAAACTCTTCGAAACTGCCCAAACTATGCTGAAGCGTTCAGAGATTCAACCTGTTACCGGAGGATCTTTTGATGGAGAGCATCATCCACCTGCTAGTGCCAACGCCTCAAACACAGACACTCCTTTCGAAGTTCCAGAAGTTTCAGTGAATGATCATCATCTATCGACCACTTCTTGGCCAATGGACAGTTCTATGTTCTATCTCAACGAGCCTTTCACGAATTCGCTGTGAGTATATAAGCAACCCAGAGCCGCCATTTAGAGGGTTGACATCATGACCAGGTACAATCAAATACCAGATCCTTTCACGTCTGATCCATGGAGCCTCAACGGTTTCAGAACGTTCTTGACTCTTCATTCGCGCTCGATACCTAGCAATCATTTGTCGATTGCGTCTCCGGAGCCTCAAAACTCAACCGGCTCAAAAGCCTTAGTCTTCAGCTCGAGCTCCTTCTCCAATACGTCGAAATACCACATAGCATTACTATTCTCATCAAGTTCTGCTTCGGTGTATCCGTTGCCCAGATGCGCAAATCTATTGCCATTTCCCAGGTACAGGATGTCAAAGTCTTCATATCGAAGCTCACTCAGCATCTCAAAATAGTGCAGTCGGCTCCCCGGCCAGATGGCCGTCACTGGGCCATGGAGCTTGCCATTCTTAAACCAGGATCGGCATGCCCTGCTCACAGTCAGCGTGAAACGAGACAAAGGCCTGCCAGCAATGAACTTACGATGACCAAGCCGTTCGCTTAAGAGGCTCATGTGTGTGAACATAAAGCTCTTTTACAGCTGCCGAGGAGGGTCCAAGAGACTTGATGGATGTCCGCTGCGTGTGCGAGATAACTTTGAACATATACCGCGTATGCCACTCGAGGATCGGAAGGATAGACCTGTGGGATGCGGGACCGTTAGGTCCAATGAAGTCTGTCAGCACCGGCAATCAGTAAAAGAGTCGCCCCCTTGCCGCAAACAAAACATTGCGTCGAGAAACTTGAGGGATACGAACGGAACATGTTAGGAAACCCTTCGGCTATGATGCTCAGATAACCTTTCGGGAAGCTGCCCCATTTCTGACGCAGATTACGACTGTTCTCCCCGAGGACGGTGTAAGGAAGGCTGAAGCTGGTGTCTAAACCAGTTGCAAAGATTACGATGTCCACCTCCATGTGCTTGCCAGAGGAGTCAAGCATACCATTCCCTGTCACTTCAATGGCCGAGTCTGTTACCACATCCACATTGGGCTTTGAGAGTGACTGCGGGTAGTCTGTCCCAGGTGTCATGCGGCGACATCCCAGCGCATATTTAGGTATCAAATGACAAGACTGGCGCGGATCGCCTCCAAGCTTTTGCAACATGGTTTTGGCGGCGAATTCCCTGGACGTGGTCTGGTCAATGCTATCGAGGTGCATCTACACGATAGTATCAACGTTAGAGGAAGCCAGTTAGATGAGACCGGGCTTGGAAATTCTGACAACCTACCAAGGTGAAGCCCTTATTCAGCTCTCCTTCAACGTCGCGACAATACTTATCCAAGGCCTTTTCGTCGGATGCGAAGGCGGCCTTTTGTTCTTCGGAATCCGCGCGGAATAGATGAAGGTCAGCCATAGCCTTGATGCGAGAAAGGGAAGGAGTGTTATTCAGAACTGACAATCAAAATTGACACCATCAGGCGCGGCGTGTTTGGCGCCAAATCCTGCGGTAATCCACACTGGAGTCCTCAAAAGGCATAAAACTTTCCCGCGTGTGACTGAATTGATGGTATGATTTGGACGGCGGATGATCCCCCTCCTACAACAGCAATTCTTTTACCCTCCAACTCCACACCATCGTCCCAAGCTGCACTGTGCATAACCTTACCCGGGAATAGCTCAACGCCGGGGATATCTCGACATTTCCAGGAACTAGGATGGTCCAAGTCAGCACATCTGGGAGTCTGGAGTACCCTAGAGCCGCATAGGGGGTCACACTTCAAAACTCCATGGCACGAGGCTAGGATTTCGCCCTGGTCAAAAAACTCGGACCCATCCGCTAGTGCTCTTGTCTTCAATTGCCACACACCCTCGTCCTGCAGTCACCGAGCCTCCTCGACTCGATGTCCGAAATTCACATGTCTTTCCAGATCATTCTCCAAGGCAAAGCTCCTCAAATACTGCCTGATCTCGTCGGCGCCGGCGTAGTGGCTTTTCCAATCGGGTTTCCGCCAGAAGCTGAATTGGTACGAGTGGCTGGGGATGTCGCACGTACATCCAGGATATCTGTTCTCCAACCAAGTGCCACCAACATCTGCGTTCTTCTCATAAATGGTGAAAGTCACGTTGGAGAGCTGTTTCAAGGCTTTGTACGCGATCTGGAGACCGGCTGCTCGGGCTCGGACAATCAGCACACGCATCGGCCATTGTGTGTGCAGCGGCTGTTCCTGAATAGCGTACCCGTTCGAGGAGAAATGGGATCGGTACCACTCGTTCTCGTGCTGAGTGGCATTTTTGACTTTGGCTCGATCATGATCTAGCGATTGAGGCTTCAGTGAAAGTGAGGGTGGTGCCTCGACGAGGATTGGGCCTTCCTGAGATGGAGACATACCTGCAATGGCTCGCTAGGAGGTTTGATTTTTCAGTTGCGCGGAAGGATTCAACCTGTGTTATCTAAATACTCCATAGTCCCCCACTGTCTTTCTTCACCCTTACATTCTTCGACCTGGGTGGATTCTGATGGACAGTCGGGTTACATGTTGCCGCGCTCGGTGAGCTGGACAGAATTGCCATCCCTGAGAATGTTGAGGGGTTCATGGCCCAGCATCGAAGTTCGGTAACTACCACCCTTGAATTGCCTCACGAGGTTTCTCAGGGCGCATAGCCTTCGGCAGATGACTGCAGAATCTAAATTCGGCTTCTCCGCAGCCGTCCACCGATGAGGATGGCGGAAACCAGGGAGCTAACCGAGGTGAAATTACTACAGATGGAAATCCCAAAAAGCTACGCAACATCTCAACGCGCCGCTGATAAGGGGGACTGCGCCAAGCGAAGTCGGATACGAGCTTTTCCTCAGGCAGTCAAAGAAAGACCTTTGACCAGGAAGAGAACTCACCAACTACGCTGAACGGAGAGAGGAGAACCAAGGCTCGGGAAAGGTTCATTGGCAACCAATTGAACACTTTATTTTTCACACCACAACCTCTCCGCTTTTTCCGCTTCTGTCCCAATGACAGAGCGTACACAAGCGGCAGGCATCCTGGATCAAACACCACAGTCCGTTTGAGACTGGAGGACAACTTGGTCCGTTAGAAACATGATATCAGTGAGAAATCGACCAAAATAGCAGGCGAGATGAAAAAGCAAAGGCATCATTGGAAATGGAATGTTTTAACCCGACACTATTCCCTGAGCGAATCCTTTTAAACCAAAAAAGCGATCTCATTCTGTCCTCTTCGCAGCCGCTTTGGTAGGGGTAATATTCAGCTTCCCAAAGATCTTCCCCAAATTCCAGTCTTCTCTCAGATCAAGCATCATCACAAACGTGCAAGGGAGTGACCCTACAGAGTGTATCTGAACCCTTCCTTGTCTTCGATGAGGATCTCACCTCGGTCAGCCTTGTGGTTTGCGCGTGTGAAAATGAAGAAATTTTTGCAAACTAAGACCACCGTCAACACTTGCACAGCAATGACAGTGTCCAGGCCAGGCCGGTACTGAGGAGCATCTTTCTGTTGAAAGGCATTGCTGGCGATGATGCCACCAATCCCACCTCCAACGATCATAACAGCAGCACCAATGGCACGCTTCGATTGGCCCACGATGTTATTGTGCTGATAGCTGAAGATGGCAGGGATACTTGCGTTGTATGGTGCTAATCCCAGGAAGACACCAACATAACGAACACTGTTGGTTTTTGCATAGCCCATCCTAGAGAAGTCAGCGGACATGATGGGAATCAGGCATTTCTGCAGCGTACATGACAACCCCAACAATTGTCTAAATTGCGTTGAAAACAATGATGGGCCCCCGAATCATGAATCGGTCGCCGATATATGCCGCGATAAACATCCACTTCCCAGACAATCAGCAAATTTCGCTCAGAAAAAGCGACTCCGTTCAACTCACGATGGCGGCAAGCACGTATGGAGGAAAAATCAGAGTGTATGTCATGGGAATGGAATACCCCATTCCTGAATGGAGAATAAGTGGAAGAAAGTATGCGAATGAATACGCAACGGTATTCTGTATGCATCTGTCAAACCAGGTCCACAACTTCCTTGGAAACTGAACTCACATTGCAGAGAAGAAGGACACAATACTCCCATATCTTCCAGTCTTTCAAATGATTGAAAACCACCTGAGGAGAGAATTTCTCTGGAATGGCATCGCCACGATCGCGCTCAATGCGGGCTAAGATGACAGTGGCTTCATTTGGAGTCTGGAAACGGCGAAACCCCAACTTGCTTGGTCGAACTGCTTTGTCAGGGAAGTCGATCAAAAAGACCAAGACTACGATGGCCACAACGCAAGTGGTAATTCCCTCTGCAGAGAAAGTTGGATCAGTATCAGGGATCATGGGGGACAAGAAATAGCTAAAGGTCTCCATCAAGATTGGCTTACCAAAAATGAAGATCCATGACCAGCCGCCTAGCCCGGAAAGACCGTTGGCTTTCGACAATCCATATGCCAACAAGTTGGACAGACCGGATACGAGCATGCCTGCACCATAGAAGCCACTGAATCGAACTTGAACTTCATGGCGCACGTACCAGCATGATAACAGGTATATCAACCCCGGGAATAGTCCACCTTCGAACATGCCAAAGATAATTCGACAGAGCAGGAGCTCTCCCCAAGTCTTGCAAAAACCCATTCCAATAGTGAGAACGCCCCAGCAGAAGCCAATGGTGCCTAGGAACGAAGCTGGTCCGACTTTCCTCATGACAAAATTGGCCGGGAAGTCGCAAATGATATAGCCAATGAAGAACGCCATTGTCAGGATTGAGTAACGATTGCCGATGGAAAGTCCCAACGCTGCATCCATCCCGGCCAGCCGGGCGTTGGGCAGATTGAGTCGGTCGATGAGTGAGACGGCATAAAGTGCGCCGCAGAGTGGCAGGAGTCGCCTGTCAACTTTCCACCTCAGTTTCTTCTCGAGGTGTTTGTCGACTCCTCCTTCGGCGTCTAGAGCCTCTTTCAACTCGGCGTGCTTCAACTGTTCTTCGGCTTCCACGCCCTCGACATGCATGTGTTCTGGAGACATGTCTTTCTCTTGCATTCCAACGGAGATGTTCATCTTGATGATACACTCGGTCCGGGTCTGTCTCAGGACAAGTAAATATATTATTTTCAGGAGCTTATTTCATCGAACAAAGACCAAAGCGAATCGACGCGACCACGACGAAGGCCAGAGGAGTATATATATCCCAAGAACCGAGGATTCTTTCCCCTGGAGAAACCAAATTCCTGGAGTAATATGTGTACCTTTGACGCCGAGCCATGCCACGAGGTCTCACTTCCTTGTGCTAGCTAGACAGTATTTCTTGCTATGTGGTCCAGGCCTTTTCAGAAATGTTTGGACCCGAGAACTATCCCGAAAGAGGAAATATTCCCTCGGAAGCCAAGGCAAGGTGAAAGTTCACAGACTGGTGGACCTCAGTGCCATCGACTCAACTTCAAACCACTTGCCCTTTGAGGATCTGGCTGGAACTGGGCGAAGTAAAAAGTTTTGTCTCCTCCCTACGGAAAAAACCAATTGACTTCTACCGACCGCGAGAGGATCATCCGGCATGAGAAAGTGATATCAGTATCGGCACGACTACTGACTAGTCGACACATCTGCACTTTTACCACTGGAAGTTCCCTACAACAAGATACCCCTTTACACCATGTCTTCAACTCAAGTCGCCGAGGATGTCCATTACCGTGAGGACACGGCTGGTATTAACGGGACCCTTGGGAGTCGGCCAAAAATCCCAGAGCGCAATGGACATATCTCTTCAGTGACGCCAACTCCTCAAGCCAAAGAAGTGCTGGGATACCACGAAGCATTTCGATTTGGAGGGCATCTCCTTGCAAACAATGTGGCTCGAGTGGTGGAACAAAATCCTGGCTTGGGTAGAAGTATTCTGGACGGCTTCGGTGTCAACATGGCCACTACTTCCCTCGGATATCGCGAATGGGCCTTGATCTCGATCGCCAGCCTGACTGCTATGGGTGACACCAGTGATCAATTGAATGTGTATGTTGAAGGGGCACTAAACCGTGGTGCCACAGTCGAGGAGATTCTTGACGTATTCAAGCACGCCAACGCATTTGTCGGAGCTCCACGAGCGGTCAATGCCGTACGGAGGACATGGGATCAGTTGTCTCAGTCAGGCCCGCGCAACCCAGACGGGTATACGGAAAAAATCATTCGGCTCGGCGACCATGAGACACTTGTTCGAGATACTGGGGGACCAGGAATACCAATTATCCTCATTCCTGCTTTAAGTATGGATGGCAGAATGTGGCGAGAAGTCCTCCCACTTGTCGCTGCATCTGGTCCTCGCGTCATCGCTTATGATCTTCGCGGCCATGGCTATGCCCGGGGGGCACCACTCACTCGAAGTCTTGAGCATCTATGCTCGGATTTAGACCTACTTCTCAACACTCTGAACATAAAATCTGCGGACATCTACGGTGCTTCGTACGGCGGAGCTGTGGCGCAATATTTCGCTCTCGACTACCCAAGTCGGACACGCTCGCTGGCGGTTCTCGCAACAGCGGGCAAAGCGCCGCCCATTCTGGCAACGACAGCTACACGTGCGGAGCAGAATGGCATGGACTCTTTGGTCGTAGAGTCTATCATTCGGTGGTTCCTGCCCGAAACTATCGCCGAGAATACTTGGTGTGTGCGGTACGCGAGAGGCTGCGTCCGTCGAGCAAGAATCGAGGATTGGGCCGCCGCTTGGAGAGCTATGTCCCAGCTGGATTGCTTGGATAGACTGCAGGAACTGAAAGTTCCCGTGTTGTCACTATCCGGGAAGCAGGATTTGTCGTCTACTCCGCCAATGATGCAGGCGATCGCAGATGCCTGCAAGAATACAACCGCCGAGTTTCAAAGCATCGATCCGGGGACGCACATAATGGTTATGGAGATGCCAGGGCCTGTTGCTGAAAAGTTGTCTGCGTTTCGGAAGAAAGTTGACGCTTCGGTATTGACTAATGAGTTGATATAGCGCCACGGATGGCGGGCTCTGATTAGACGTCCGGTGGGTGGATGGGGCGTGTCACAGGTAACCATTCCCGCAATGGGAAGGCTGATTCCAGTTCAGGGGCCACGAACCAGGGACAAACGTACGGCTCATTTTCCGTAAGTATGCCGCGGACATACGGGGTATTTAGTGTGGCAACAAGCCATGTCACAATTAAATGGCGATCAGCTTGCGGAACCCAGAGGCGAATCAGTTTGTCCCTAGCCTGAGATATCTCGGGGACTCAGCGGTACTACAACCATACTCCACCCCCACAATTGTGGGTTTAGGATAGAGATGTTTTCTGGGGTTGCTCGGTTTGGATCCTGAAGACGCTGGAAGATCTGAAATATCCACGAGGTCTGTCCCAATCTTAGTTACCCCCAAGGGCCTTGGCTTCATAATGGGGGTTGGGCAATCGACTACGCTTGCCCTCTGCTTCCCCTAAGGTACCTATGCGATTTAGGTTTGCCAGTGGCCTATTGGTGTCTTTGAATGGAATGATTTTCTAGTACTCGAGTCGTGGACCTGCAGATACGATCAACGATGATGGTAACGCGGAAAGTTCCTGGCCTGAATAAACCTCGACTAGGAGGACCCGTCACTGCCTAACGAAGCGAGACCCACCCCCAGAACCCCCAGACTCCAGCCCTCAGCGAGTCATGGCCTTGCCCAGGAAATTGTCCAACGCACCTAAACCTGACCTGTGCCCTGGTAAACCGCTTCCCCGGCCATCGCCAAACACTCACTAGTTGCCTGGTTAGGCGAACAAAAAAGGGCGGCTCAACTCTATGCGGTACTCGGCAGACTGAATCAAATTACGCAGCGTGCAGAATCGTTCGTTAGAACATTCTGGACCTTCAGCACAGAATCAGGGGCTTTGGGAGCCAACATTTTTACTGTTGAAATCGAGTGTCGTGTGTCTTCTTTGAAACTTCCCGATGTTGCAAGAGAACAGCTTCCTCAGGAACACCCCTTTACTGACTTCACGGAGGCTCTAACCGAGATCGACAAGGCCCGAACAGGCCGTGTTCGCTAGGGTCAGCTCTTCACGGTTCTCTCGTGCTCTCACAGGATTGAGCCACCTGGGGGTCTAAAACGTGGCAATTACGAGCCCACAAATTTCCCGCGAGAGAAAATACGAGCGAGGAGGGTTTTAATCGAGGAAATCGACACCCCGGTGGAGTGATATTGCAACGTGGGCGAGCCCCATAAACTTTTCAATACGTTTCAAGTGCCTTAACGGCGGCTTAACTGAAACTGGCTTTTACTTGCACGGAGGCAGGCCCGAAGTTTCTTCACTAGAACCTTCGAATTCCTCTCCCCCGCGATTTGATTCTCGCTAGGGTAGGGATTGGCTGAAAGTTAACTAACATTTGGTGGTTTTAATTCAGTCTCTAAATCACAACCAAGGCCCTATCCCTTTAATATACGAGGTATGGACGAGAAAGACTCGGACAAGGAACACTGGCTCTTTGGAATGGCCCCTCCCCCGTACGGGGCCCCTTTCATCGCTCTACGAACCTTGAATTGGGTGGAGAGTCTCGAATCTACATATATTCATGGACTCTCAAATCTGCGAACGGTTGCAGTATCGCTCTTGGTGCACTAGGTCAATGTGAGGATTCGTTTAGCAATGATGTTGTTCCTCCCCTTATTGTTGCTGGTCTCATCCGTCTTTCCAATCCACGCACAAACTTTGATTGATCAATTGCCGTTATGCGCTGTATGATGCCACCTGGGACATCGTCCAAATTGAGCTTGCGGACTCACATCATAAACAGGTCGACTGCGTTTCCAAAGCGATTCAGAGCATTCCATGCCCCGCAACCAACAAAGAATGCATCTGTAGCGATCCCCAGTCCCTGTTCATGGGCGTCGCGGCGTGCGCTGGCGCCAATTGCACCGTTAGAGAAACCCTGTGTTTGTCCAACAAATCCCCTTTAGCAATGTCAGACATGCTGACCCCAAGTGCCAGCATCGGAGAACTCTGCGCTGGTGTTCTGTGATGTCCCACGTCGAGACATGTCAACGGAATTAGATGCTATAAGTGGGACATTTGGCGGCCTAGTAATTCTCATCGTTCTCCTGAGAATGACCACTCGAATGCCTCCCTTCAAGGCTGCCTTTGGTTGGGACGACGGGCTTATCCTGGTCTCTGCGGTGAGAATCCCTGTCTGGCTTCGTCGAAACTTGTTCACTCATGCTGGGCAGGCGTTTGCCATATTCTCGTCATTGAACACTTTTATAAGTACGTGGCAAGGGAAGCATTTGCGCTTGGTTGGGAAAGTTAACGCTGGAAACAAGTGACGCACTACGGGTTCGGGAGAGACATTTTCACGATACCGCCAGATGATATCGAGACCGTCTTGAAAGTGAGCACAGATACCATCATATACAAGATCTTCTCGCGACGGCGCTGATCCCTACCAGATGTTTTACGCAGGAGAAATGACTTACGACATCACCAACGCCGTGACCAAGATTTCCATCCTGGCATTCTACTTGCGCATCTTCACAGATCCGAAATTCAAGATATCGGCATATATTCTCATGGGTTTCGTCGCGGCGTTTTTGGTGGCTATCTTGCCGGCCACCATCTTCCAGTGCACTCCCATCTCTTACATGTGGACCGGATGGACCGGCGAGACGGAGGGCCACTGTATCGACGTCTCTTCATTGACCTGGGTGGCGTCTTCCGTCAACATCATTCAAGATATTGCTGTCATCTTGTTGCCGATCCCGCACTTACTCAAGCTGTCGCTTTCACGGAAGAAAAAGATCCAGATCGTCTCCATGTTCTGTGTTGGTTTATTGTAAGTCCGCTCCTCTATTTCTCGAGCCCTCAGTCTACATGATTACTAAACATATATCCTCCAGCGTCACCGTTGCCAGCATAGTACGTCTGTCAAGCCTCATTCGATTCAAGGCCACTCTGAACTTCAGCTGTGAGTCGCCATAATCTCTAGACTATCCGCACTCTACTTACACACTCCGCAGGGGACTACGTCGCCGTCTGCTACATGTCGGTCGTCGAAATCGACGTTGGTGTAATCTGCGCCTGTATGCCCGCAATGCAACTCCTCCTGCGCCGTGTCGCACCGCGCCTCTTTGGATCTACCGCCGACAAGTCCTCCTATCTGCACCCTCACACTGGTGGCCCCCGCTCACAATCGCGGACCTTCCGCAATACGGGCACCCGCCACTCCATAGCGCCGAACACCATCACAAAAACTCTGACGGCGACCGTGACCGAGGTAGCAAAAGATTCCGACTCGGTTATGGAGTTGGTCGACAATCCCAACAAGAAAGGCAATAGCCATGAGGGTGGGTCATTTGCCACGATGTCGTCAGCAGACGATGGCAACAAGCCAAATGGCTGGTAGAGATGGAGAATAATAATAGCCGTTCCTCTAAGAGGGAGGGATTGGTTAGGGCGAAGATTGCAGACAGCAGAAGACCCAGCAGTTTGATGTCACTCCAATTAAGATTCTTTGCACATTGCCCAGAGAGGTACGCCACCATTCTGATTGTTATTTTATTGGCATAAACCCAAGCCGTGATTCATGACTTTGATATTCACGATTCAAAGTATGCTAAACAGTCCGACCGTACCCCGTGTAGCAGTAGCGGACATCTACGTAGCGTTTGCGGTCATCATTCTGATGTTGTGAAAGCGCAAAGGCCGTAAACTCATTCGCCCGGGCAAGTCTGAGCAATTGAGAAGGCCTTTCAAAGAATGTGGGGGAGGCGGATAATACATTCAGGAGCCCTTTCGGCATTTTCTGCCATGGCAATATTTCCTAAGACGGTAATGGCCTTTTTTGCGGATCCCCAGACTTTCCAGGTTTCATTTCGAGGGGTTAGACTGTGTCTGTTACCGTGCTTTCTCAGAGCTTGACCGTCGGTTGGGTGGAGCTCGTAGGGACTGACGTCTGCGAATCACTCACGCCCAGCTCGAAACATATATGTAGCACTCGTTCGGCCAGGCCAAATTCGCGATAATAGTAATCCACAAAAAGCGAACGCTGTTCATAATTCGAGTACGGTGAACCACTGTCGATATGTATGTTCAATCGAATGGTGAAGACCAAATCACTGATGTGGTTGTGTTGGGAACGGGGCCTGGCGGGCTCGCTTCAGTTGGCGCTGCTGTGGAAGCGGGTGCGCAAGTTATCGCGATTAAGCATGCAACGACATTGGAGGAAACGGGACCTGGTCGACGGGCTGGGTCACATTCGTGAACAGTCAAATGCAATGCGACCAAGGCATCGGAGACTCCGTCGATTTGTTCATGCAAGATTGCGAGAAACTGATCGAGGAATGCAGCGTCCGCTGCGGCGTACAATGGGACCCCGTTCTCGCGAGACTCTACGCAAAGGAGAGCGGCGAAATGTACGACGTACTCACCAAAAGGGGCGTGAAATTTCCTCGTCTCTCCAAGCGTCCTCTCCAAACGTCTGTTCCGCGTCTGGCCGCCGTCGAATCAACCGATCAATTTGCTAGGGCGTTCGAACCCGACTTTGCCGGCCCAAATGTACGCACCTACTTGAACAGTACCGCAGTGAGACTGATCATGGAGAGTGGACGTGTTACGGGCGTTCACGTGCGGCCGAATGACTCAACACCAACTTTCAAAGTGTTCGCCAAACAGGGTGTCATCCTCGCCACGGGAGGATATCAAGCTAACCCAGCCCTCCGTCAACACTATCTGCCAACGGTGAGGGACAGCTGGTACCCAGGACTGCCAACATGCCGTGGAGATGGTCATCTCCTTGGTCAAGCAATTGGAGGGGATCTGATCAACATGTCAATGATCCCGCCTATCGTGGCCATAGCTTCTGCCCTGACAGATGAAGCAATTGCAGTGAATTCCAACGGCGAGCGGTTCCACGACGAAGCAGGACCTTATCAATATCGAGTGGAAAAGCTGAAAGAACAACCTGGCCAGATCGGCCATTATATCTTCGATGCGGCCACAGCGGCCAGCAAGGAGCGTTATGTGGATCAGCTTGGTTCGGGAGTCGGAAAGGCGAATACAATGGAAGAGCTTGCGGCTCTGATCCGTGTTCCAGCCCAAGTTTTGATAAACTCCGTCAAGACCTGGAACGATTTCGTTAGTTCCGGCGAGAAAATTGACCCTTTGACAAATAGGGTCGACTTCACAGCCCACACAATCACAGATCCCCCGTTCTATACATCGGCCTTGGTTCCTGGGGTCAGCTTGACATGCGGAGGGTTCCGTACCACAACATCTCTGCAAGTCATTGATGTGTTTGGGGAGCCGATTCCTGGCCTCTTCGCCGTGGGAGATGTCGCGGGCGGGCTCACACCCACTGCCGAAATGGGCGGCACTCATCTTGGAGGAGGATTTGTGCACGGCTGGAGAGCAGGTAAAGCGGTCGCAACCGGACAATTGGCCAAAACCCACCATAAAGAGGGCCGCACTTTTGGACAGTTTGTCCCTCAGAAGGCGACGTTGGAGTTGAAGATCCCTATCATTAGTGGTGTTGCGACAGCGGATCAGGCATCTGGGTCAAAAGCCAGACTGTAAGCGCGTTGGACGCGCAGAGCAAATAGATCGGGACCCTCACACTGCTCATTCATCAATCTTCTGTCGCACATTGTTTGGGACTGGCGAATTGGTGTGGTCTGATACTAGTAGTTTTTGATCTGTTCATTCAGCAAACACTAGAGGACATCAATCCATGAACTCTCCTTGTAAAGTGAGCCTCAAGGGGGCGAGGCTAAGCCAAAGTTAAGCTGGGTAGGAGGCCAATCCATGCATGAAGCGGGACGCTAGGATTTGGGGCCGAATTCGTGGTCGGTTAAGCTGAATCCGAGCCTAGCCCATCAGATAGTCGGAGGATTAGGGGATTCTGCTGTAGAGATGTCGTGTAGGATTAGCTTGTTGATCGTGATTATGTCCTCTTCTAGGCTGCCGGGAAAGGTTCTCAATCGACATGGCCTTTCTGTCATTCCCTCTGCTGTCACTTCTGCCTCCACTTGTTCCAATTTCCAGCTCTTGACGATACTTCGTACCAGCGCAAGTTCGTCGGAAGGTCAGAATGCAGGGCCACTTACCCCAGCTACTACTTGCTTCATGTTATCTTCCTCCATTTTCCTGTGGTCATGCTCAGGTGCTGCTGCGGGCTTTACTGATTAGTCAAACCTTTCGCGAAGCAACAGACGGAGAGTGAGATTCAGTATAGCGACGCGTGTCCAAATCAGATTTTCAGGGCGCCATGTAACACCAATAGTCCAGTCGCCCTCTTTCATTCATTTTTGTCACCTATTTTCGTGTGGATAGAAGGATTCGAAGAGGGAAAATGTTGTACACAGAGCGAGAGTTGTTCTATCTGATTGATTGTGTCCTGTCCCTCTGCCTATTCAGAGAGACTCTGCCTGTTTATATACACTTTGGCCTGTGATTCGAGGGCTTTTCCTGAAACCTCCTATTTCATCGTCACGCTACCGCAGATCGAGATCAACGGTGTTGAGGTAAGTGGCGCAGCTGGCGAGATAGTTAACGTATCAGGTGTTTTGCCACAGTGGCGATCTTGCAACGATGTCAACAGAAAAGACCTGAGGCATTAGCAAGAGAGTCAACTTTTCTAGGTCAATATCTTCTGGAGCCAGAGCAATTGGCTTGAGTGTAGCTTTGTCGGTGCTGGGCTATGAACTCGACCTAGAAGTTCAAGTTGTATACCGAGAGGATTGTTGAAGACTTCATCCAATGGCGAAAGTTCCAATATAAAATAAATATCCATCCCTGGAGAAACGCCAATCGCCAAGTGACCTAACGTTCCTACATCTCTCCCGAACAAAGATTAGCTGTTGACAGGGTCGCGAGAGCGTGACTGTAGCAAACCAGCTAAGACGCTAAGGTGTTTTGCCAACTGTGGAAACTACCTCAACCTCGTTGTTCTCGCAGACCTGTGATAGGATGGCGACGGAATAGGAGGTTTCAGGAATGCTCTTCAGGTTACAGGCCAATGTTTATATAAACAGGCAGAGTCTCTCTAAATAGCCAGGAGGACAGAACACAATCAAGCAGATAGATCCACAACTGTTCTGTGTACAACATTTTGCCTCATCAGCAGTTCCTTCTGTTGTATACATCTGTGGCCTATGTCTTGAAGCAGTCCGGTGAGTCTTGAAAAGGGGAAAAACTCCTAGAAGCGCCCCCTGAAGTACAGCAGACCATACCACTTCCGCACTACCACCGCCTGTAACTAAGTCACATGAAGCCTGATTAAAGTGACCATGGAGCAATACAAAACGGATACTAAGGCTGCAAGGAGTGTTGGGGTTGGATTCCGACCGAAAAAAAACTAAAAATTAAAACTTCCGTGTTGGCCCTGTCGTGGCTCTTCCTCTCTGCCTTCCCCCTTTACCTTCCTATCCCGGGACTCAAAGCGTGCCGCTCGCTAAGTCTGACCACTGCATTCGACTAACCTGACAATCCGCAGCTCCACGGGACTACACTGAGCGGCCCAATTATCAATGTATAGATTATAAAAGTCGCCACTGAGACACTGCCAGAAAGTGGTGGTTCCGCCGAGCGCAAGCGTGCGCATACCGTCCCCGCCATTGTCAATGTTGCCGCCGCCCTCAGCGCCAGAGGAGCTTATGGTGTTAGTGACAGGACAGATGCTCCACCCGCTAGTATAGATGGCGCCAGACTGGGGCGGACCGTCGAATTGGAACTGGTAGTTCGACGCGATGTAGCCGGTGCGATTGAATGCGTCGTATAGACTGTTGTTTGTCAGAGTGAGGCGGAGCGTCGAGCTTGTGAGACATGATACCATGGATAGGGTTTGCGATTGTATCGGACCTGATAAGGAGGAAGTGAACGACGATGACGACGACGACGCAGCGGCGGAGATGGTACTACCACCGTTGAGGGATGCCGGATTTGATGACGAGGCCTGGGTGGGTAATATGCTTAGTTCAAGGCCCGACGATGGCGATGGTGACGAGGCTCTTGGGCTGGGGGTCGGGACCCGGTGAGTAGAGATGCTGCACGCTTGTCCAAGCACCGTCGGCGGCTTGCTCGGTACAACAGATGGATTTACCACTTGTAGAGGAAAAGGAACAGGAACGGCAACATTCGAACTCGGGGCTAGCGATGACGCCGTTGCCTGTGGTTCCATCATAGCAACGACAGGCACATCTGTAACGACGGGGCCCTGAATCTGCCCGTCACTGATCTGAGACACGGGAGCCACAGGAGTCACTATGGTGATGGTTGCCGTGTGCATTCCTCCTTGGACCTGACCGTCGCCGATCTGGAAGATGGAGCCCATGGTCAAGATCGGAGCTGGCGGCTGTTGTCTCGCGCGCAGTTTTCCGGCAGCAGCACTGCTGGACTCCGAAGACGAGGAAGGTAAAGAGATATTGATCAGTGCAATACCAAAGATACCAGGGAATGTTCCTATGCATCCCAGTGGTGGGGGTTGCTGTGGAGTTACTACTGCCGTCACCGCTTGTGGTTGTGCGATCGGCGATGGATGTACCCAGGTGTGAAAAAGGAAGAAGAAATAAAAAGTATGGATCATCCTTTTTTGAGACATCTTTTGGGGAATGTGAGGGAAAGATCAGCGTGGAATCGAGTTGTTGAAATGGGCGGAATGAGTGTCGAGGGAATGAATGATTCTATATATACCTTTGGGAAAGGCATGTCTGAGAACTCACCTCGTGCTAAATCCTCCGCCTGGAAAGTGCATATTGGATGCATAAGGCTGGCTGTGAGTCCGTGCGGCATCTAGAAAACACCCTCAGGAATGCAAGGCTCTGAGAAACAGACGAGGCTGGCGTAGATGTTGAGGCAAGGCTGGCAAGATCCAGGAGGTGGCTAGGGATCAACCAGGATTGTGCCAAGGCTCAAGCTGTACAGGTCAACAATCCACCTCGACAGACGCCATTAGTGTCCTGTAATGATTCATCATTCATGCATTCGTATGTAATAACACAAAGCTGCCAGTGTTGTATGATTATCCAACACTTCTCAACCAGCAGCCAGACAGAGTCAAAGCCTCATAGTCTCCAAAGAACTGAAAGCAAGGACTTTTTTGAACTCCATCACCCCATCGATGTCGCAGAAAAAGAAGCTGTTGTACAATCATTCAACCATTAAATACATCACCCTCATCGCCCATGGGCGTTCCAGGCGTCACGCCCCGCCCAGCATCATCCACATCGTCCCCGTTCCTGTCTTTACTGCCGGCTTCTTCCACAGCCTCGGTGACCGACTTCACAAGCACTCCCCGGCCTTTCAATTTATCCCATGTCTCATCCTTCCTTCTCAACCGTTCACGAGAAAAACTCAGTCCGTCAAGCTGAACCAGATTTTTGCAGTGCGCCGCCAGCAATAACTCGATTGTACGTCGCTTTAAGCCTGTAACTTCATCAAGCACCTTCGTCCAAGACGCATCTTCTGTCTCCGACCCGTCGGGCAGATAGTATCGTGCCAAGTCTGAGTTTGCCGCTTTAGCAGACGCAGGACTATAGAATCCTACAGTCAGAGGATTTTCGCGGAGGTCGATGTGCTTCAGTGACGGAAGCCTAGACATGATCAGGCATGTTCGCCTCATCTTTTGCACTCGATTCTTCGCCAGTAGCAGCGTATTCAAATGCACCAACTTTCGCAATGGATCAACATTTTTGATGGCATTGAAATTCACGTTCAAGTGCCGGCAATTGGGAAAGAATAGCCCGAATCGTTCAGGAAGTTCCGAAATGCCACAGGCTGCGATCTCCAGTTCCCGGAGGTTATTTTGAGGCGATGACGGTAATTTCAATGTCCCGTTAACTGCCAAGTTTGATGATAGACGGATCTGTCGGCACTCGTTCGGTGTGGATAGAACTAGATCGACAATATCCGATTGTTCTTTCTGTTCTCTAAGGGACAAAAAGTCTAGGTGATATGCCGACTGAAGCCCCTGAATATCCTTAATTTTGTTGTTGTCAAGATCCAGATGTCGAAGAGCTCGCATATGCTTCAAAGCAATCAACTCTAGTTCGTTGTGGACTAGTCGTAGCTTCTGTACCGGAATGTCCTTGTCACCACATGACGTGGGGAAATTCTGCAGAGCATTGTGAGAAAGATCAAGGTCTTCGAGGGCAGGCAGAGAGCCGAGATTCCTAACTTCTTCCAGTTTGTTGTGGCTAAGGTCTAACGCCTTTAGTCGCCTTAAATCACATCCTTCAAAATCGGCCCTTGTTAGGTCGTTGCCGCTGAGTTTGAGTTCAAGGAGACCGTCCAGATCTAAGATGCCGTCAATGTTCGAGATCCGATTATTGTTGGCATTCAGGCTGCGCAGATGAACTAGCGAACTGAAACCTTCCAAGCTTTCCAATTGATTTCCGGACACATCGAGATACTGAAGATTCTGGAGATGACTCCACGAAGTTAGGTCATTAACCAAGTTCTTCTGGATATCAAGAATCCGCAAGGTAGACGGCAAGCCACCCAATTGGGAGATTTTGTTGCTGGACATACTCAATTCTTCTAGACATGGACAGTAATCTTTCAGACCATGAACGGAGGACACCTTGTCTGGAGCAAGCGTCATTCGGCGAAGTTGGTCCCAGAATAGTTCGTCAGGTGCCGCGTCTGTGATGGCCTTGATGAGCTCATCCACAACTAACGCCAGCGAGCCATGAGCTTGCCGTAACGCATTCGGATGCCTTCTCTCGTCAACATAGCTCTGGTCGGGATCCCTAGGTTTGTCAACTTGGTGTAGGGAAAAGTCTGATAATGGAGTCAAGCAAAGAATACTTGAAGCTTTATTGCTCGTCTTTTGCAGTTTTGCTATGGTCTTGGGTGGCGCTGGTGTTACGACATTCGAGTGTTTAACCTGGACAAGGCTCATCCGGGGCTGAAAATGTTCTTCGTCGTCCTCTACAATAGGAGATATTGTCCGAGGCTGAAAGGTGACGACTCGTTCCTGACTGAGCTGCCGCACTTGATTACTCTTTTTGAAGGAGTCCCTGGAAAGAGGCCCCATAATTTTTGGCGGCGACTCCTGCTCACGATGTCCAACATCAAGATCAATTTCTGAATCATCAAGGGGAAGTTCATCTTCACGTGGCAGGTCGTCGAAATCGTCCTCGCCAAGATTTGCGTAATTGACCTGAGAGACAATCGGGGACGAAAACGCAATCGTAACGGCTCGAGGTTGCTTCCGATCGTCTTTGAGCTGGCTTGGAGGCTTGGACGGAACACCACTATGGAGCTTTGCTTCGTGCGCTGAAGCCTTGGAGCGGAGGGAGCTCTGGTCAATCTCCTCCATGTCCTCCTCGGCTGCGATTTTGCACTGAGGTTTGTCACTTACGGGGTTCGCCCCTGGGTCCGGTAAGCGACGCAGTGAAGCTTGAGAGTCATCTCTGGCGTCAGGTGCATTGATGGTAGATATCATTTCTTTCTGGTCCGTAGCCGCTTTGACATGTAATGTATTAGACTGCAGTTCCCGTTGCTCATCAATACTCAGGTCAGGGATGTCCTCGAAAGGATCGTCTTCGGTCAGTGTTTGCCGGTCCTGTCTGCTCATCCGTTTGGAGTCGTCATTTGTAGATGCCTTCTTAACCCATACCTTCTTGTCGTGATCGAATGTCATTGCACCAACGCGGTCAGGAATCGATACGGTACCGGAAGAAATAACACCCTTTTGACCAGATGCCGATGATCTTGTAGGGAAAGACTGCTGAGTTGAGCTGTGATTGGAATGTTGAGTGTGGGCCGTACGATCCTGTGTCCAGTCCTGTTGACCGTCGACCGTGGAACTCGAATACTTGCGTTTTCTCATGGTTTCGGTTGCATTTAGAATGCGCATGTTCGGCGGATTGCTCTCTTGCAACTCTTCCAGAGCCGTAGTTCCGGCTGCTTCACTAATAATAACATTGTCTGCTGGTGCAAGAGTGCCAAACACCGAAGCGCTGCCCAGAGCGTCCATATCGTCTTCGTCGCGATATCTGCGCAAATAGCTCGCTGTTCTCGAGTCATGGCGTGCGTGACGGCGGTCCTGGGAGGGCCGTGGCACATGCTCTCGGGATGGTGGTCGAGAAAAATCATCCTTAGTAGAGTCTGCATCAATATCCAGATCAAGTATGGCATCTGGATTCAACTCTGACACTTCAGCCGGTTCAGTGATGTTTGGCAGAGCAGCAACAGGCTTGGGCTTCCCTCGAGAACGAATGAACTGCATAACTTTGTTGGCTTCCTCCATGTAGTCCTTGGTGGCGAGCGATGCTTTGCGTGAATCACTATTCGTCTGTGCTGCCTCCTGTGCAAATGAGGCCAGTTCTGCGGCCAAAGCCTCGGTGAGATCTTCGTTGGCTGGTTCGGGGCCCGTCTCTTGGTCAGCACCTTCGGCACCTGGTTCTAAGGTGGCACGCGTGACAGAAGGGGTCCTTCTCGCTGATTTTGGTCTCAAAAGGTCGCTTGAAACAAGCACTTCTGGATCTGCCTCGATCCCTTCATCATCACGTCGAGCATCCCTTTCCTTCTTACCCGCATAGGTGGTTGCTTCACCGAGCTCGGCGATTTTAACTTCAATCTCATTGTCTGGCGGGGGCACTGGATCATTGACATGTGTCTTGCGTCGTTTAGTCGTTCTATCCTCCTCGATGTGACCCATGATCTCCCCCCGTTCTTCGCTTCCTTGACTTAGTTCAATCCCGACACCCCCCGGGGTCGATTCAGGAATATTCGCAGCCTGCGTCGAAACAGGTTGGAAGATTCTATCTTCTGGCTTCACTAATGTTGGCTCAATGGGAGATGGCCTTCGGACGTTTTGCTCAAAGCCGAATCCATCAAGCTCACCTTGACCGAACTGGCTCATACGAAACTCGATCTCTTGGGCTTCATCTGCTAAGGAGGGAACGTCAACTCTCTCGCAAGAGTCTTCAGGCTCCTCGAAATGGCTCAAAATACGCATCAATTTATTGTTCGTGTACGTGTCTCGATTTCCGAACAACTTCAATGGGCTTCCAGAAGAGGCGGGGCGGTTGTGATTGTCCGGATGGTGGACAATACTGGTATCCTGAGGCGTGGTTGGAGCACTTGCACTGAGCTTACTCTGATCTATACTGTGGTCGAGAAGAGGGGAATTCTGAGGCGGCGAGCTGTGAAAATGGATGTCGGCTCGGGAGATTGGTTCCATTTGCAAAGGCTCTTGGCTCAAGCTGAGACTTTTGCGGAGGAATGAGGCTTCATTCGAACGGCCCCCGCGTCGCGAATTGATGAAGCCCCCGTGTGAGATGAAGTCTTGTGTACCCATAGACAGGTCATCGGGTAAAGATTGGGAGGTCAAATCAGGTAGTGGTTCGTCCTTGAAATGTTCTTCCGTGTCCTGCTTTCTCACATAACTGATGTGACTGTCGCTCAAGCTCGACCCAGGACGATCTTCCTCCTCCAGGGCAGCGCTTTGTAGTTTGCTTTTCAATGCCTGTATATCAACATCGGCTCGCAACACTGTATCGCGGATCGAATTTTGCTTTGATACCGTGACCGGGCTGATGAACTCGTTTCGCAATTCTTCTTGACCACTGATCGTCCTCCATCGTGGATCTTGCGCATCATAGCCTTTCGGCGATGATGGGGTGGAACGACATTTCTCAACACGCTCGAGGGACTGGACTCGCTGCTTTACCAAGCCTCGGAGGGATCCAGTTCTGACAAGGTCAGACGATACTGCAGACAGGTTGTGTTGCTCCAGCTCTTCTTCTTCATTGACCTCTTCCAAAATCTCAAGATTCACACGACTTCTGTTTGTTCGATAGCTGGAGTACTGTTCGGGAAAGGGATTGAAGGCAGGCAGATTGAAAGGCTTCCTGCTCAAGCTAGTTTCTTGTTGTTCAACGCTGTCGCTCCGTAACTGTGAAGTATTTGGCAATTTAAAAACGCCTTCTAGTTTAGAGGGTGAGAAGAGGTCGAAGCCGTCGCTATTGATGTCTTCTCCAGCGGCAAGCCGTCTCTTCCATTCTGGTGTCTCTGCCAGAGAAGGCTTCTCGTGGATGGAGTGATGTTGTACTGAATTCTGGGATTCTGAGAAAGTATTTGATGTCCGGCGCGGCAGGCTTGAGTATTTCTGTGAATCCGAGGCAGCAGGTAGATTCAGACTGGAGGCGCTGCGTTCGCGCAGGATGGATTGGGCACTCTGGCGAGCTTGTCCGCGAGTTGAGCGATGTCTCAGAAAGCTCCCCACCGACGAATCTTTGCGGATGTTGTTTGCGAGGTGCGGAATGCGGCTCTGCGAGTGGTTGAGAGAAGGCGCAGGTGAGGATGAGCGGTGTTCAGACTTCCAGTCTTCAGAAAGCGAGTCGAGCCATGGTTCCATTGTGTGTGCGTCGTGATATTGGGGAAGAAGTGGAGGTAATGGCTGAATGAAATGCGGATGAAGTGGTGGGAGAGGGAGTGTGTGCTATCAATGGTTCGGATCGCGTGTGGGAGCGCAAGTCAATGCTCAAGAAGGCGTCCCGGGTATCGCATACAGGGAAACAATGTAGACTGTAAGCATAGCGAAGTGGCTGTTGGACTGTCCGAACTATCATAGAGCAGGCGGGACATAAGTGGTTGATTTCCAAGAAATTGGAGCACGACGCGCCCTGATGGTGGATTGTGTGTGTGTGTGTGTGTGTGTGCGCTTGTATGTCTTCCGATACTTTTCTCCGCGCTCCGTATTTTGTTGCCCCACAACACCATCAACACTATCAGCACCATCAACGCCATGAACACGACGCAGCCTTGTTGCTAGGCAACCCATCAACCTACTCGTCCACCATCACCACCACCACCACCTCCTCCAACCCCCGCCATCAACCACGCTGTGTTCGTTCCGTTCCCAACATATACGTAATTCCTCAGTCGGAATACTTCGACCACGTGTCTCGAGAATTCAAGGCAAGTCAATTGCTGCTCGGTCGCCCACGGAACTGGAAATCCTAGGCACCCTCAAGCTCACAGGCAGGCAGCTAGCACCACGTCTTCAAGGAGTCAACGCAAGAATACGAGGATTCTGCGAGGCACGCTCCTCGGGCATTCTGTCATAATATGTCATATCTTCCCAGAGATGCCATCGCCCTCACCGGCGGCTGCTATTGCAAAGCCATCCGATACACCGTCAAAGTCCCAGCATGGGAAAACCGCCCTGCTGTTCCCGGCGCACTCGAGACTCCCATCTCGTCCACCGAAAAGGTTCAGACGCGATTACCCTTGGTTGACCTCGATCACTGCGGTAATTGTCGTCGTCAAGCTGGCTGTATGGTCCAATGTTGGCTCATAGTCCCAATTGACTGGGTGGAATGGGATCTACTACGGAAAGAAGCTACAGGTAGCCAGCAGGCTCTTAATCTATCTACGTGCGAAGCAGTTGGACCGCTCAAAGAGGGCGAGAACTCAGCCTCGACCTACGTATCGCGCTTTAGTTGCACTGACAGAGCGACGAGGACATTCTGTTCACGTTGCGGTACAAACCTGTCATATTTGAGCAACAAATACCTGGGTACTCCACAAGCATTTGTCGATCTTACAGTTGGTAGCCTGGATCCCGAATACCTCGAATTGGCGAAGCCAGACCGACATGGCTGGTGGGATTTTGGTGTTGACTGGATCAAAGCACTGCTGAGAAAGGGCGACGGCGGGTTTCTGATCCGACACCAGACGGGTGACGTCTCCCAAGCTGTGGAAGATTAAACACAATGCAAGTGTCCTCCTGGCTGGGGCCCGGGCCTGGATCACATGAAGCGCGCCATATCCGTAGCACTAAGTCCACCACCCAGGCAATGTAACACCCTAGCGTTGCAACACGCGTTTTATTCCACCCCACCACCAGACCATCTCAATCAATCCAACTGCCACTCAACCAATTCACCATTAATTACGCGTAAATGGCCTCAAATCGAGAGATCAGAATCCAACAGGCTATCCAAGACTTCGAAATACGCAAATATCCTTCAATTCGCGCGGCTGCGGCCGCAAACGACGTCAACTACGCCACGTTAAGTCGCAGACTAAGAGGCACTCAATCGGCCACGCTCGCCCACGAACCACAGCAGTTATTGTCGAATATATAGGAGGAACTGTTAAAGAGATGGATACTTGATCTAGAGGCTCAAGGATACGCGCCTAGCTATTCTGCTGTGCGAGTTCTCGCAGGGATAGTTAGCGAGTCGTCTAGCGGCCCTAGTTAGGTCGGACATAACTAGCTACCACGGTTTATTCAACGACATCCTAATATCCGTTCAAAGGTAGGCCGAAAGATCTCTGTTAAGCGCGTTAATTGCACACTTCCTAAGCTACTTAAGAGGTAGTTTCGCGGTCTATAATCGATTAAAGTACGATATTCGATCCTACTATAGAACACCTTTAATATGGACGAATCTAGACTAACCCTAGGCGTTTATAGTAATTAAATCGTTATTAGAACATCGGCTACTACTAGTAGTACGCAAAAATCGCCTAAGACGCGTAAATGGATAACGCTGGTCGAGGGGATCTTAGCCATTGGTAAGCGAATTAGGGCGCTAGTTATCTTTAAAGATAAAGCGCTATAGACCACTTAGTTTGACGATTCTAGTTCTAACTATCTATACATAACCTCGCTAAATGGCTAGACATTAAACGAGATCGGTCTACGCTGGCTAGACTAGATATTCATTCCTTAAACGACGATAGAAGGCACTGCTCGCGGCGAGTATCGACTACTACTACTGGATGGTCATAAGAGTCACGTTACGTATGAATTTATGTGGAAATACCATTAGAATAACATCGTTGTGTATTATCTTCTACCGCACTTAAGCCACGTCCTTCAACCACTTAATCTTACCTATTTTTCGCCTGTTAAGTCCCGTTATCGAGCGTAGATCGCTAACCTAGCTAGATTCGACGATGCAAGCCTAGTTAAGAAGACTAGATTCTTATAGATCTATTAGAAGGCTAGCTAGGAAAGTCTCAGTGTCGCTAATATTAAGTCTAGCTGGAAGGCTAGTGATATCTATCCATGGAATCCACGGAATGCTATTCGATCTAGCCTAGTTCTTAAGGACGCCGTAATCACTTAGATTACACCACGAACACCGCCTTCTCGCAAGCGAAAAGTCTTCGAGGATAATGTCTATTCTACGCCAGTCAATAGACGAATTTATGACGATTCAATGAACAGAGCTAGACAAGAGGAAACGATCTCAAGACCACTCCGCAGATTCCTGGGTAAGACCGGCAAAGAACTCGATCGTTTACAGTGGAATAATCAATAGAAGGATCGGTAAATCGCTAGTCTAAAGGCTCAACTAGAGCGATCGAAGGCCCAGAGGCAAAAGGGTAAGGTAATTGATGCCAACGAGACCTTTGCTAGCATCGAGAGTATACAGGCGGCCAAAGAGGCATTGGCCACGTTGGCGGCGACGACGACAGCGACTAGGAGGACTAGGCAGTCTACAAACAACAGGAATAGCACCTCAAACGACCCAATTGCGGCGTTTATGAACGTGTTCCATGTCAACGATAGTGCTAGTTGAGTAATTGAGACTTGTTCTGTTACAACAGTTGTAAAATCGCGTGTTGCAACGCTAGGGTGTTACATTGCCTGGGTGGTGGACTTATTAGTACGTGAACCAAAAGAGGAATGTGGGTGTCGAACGGTCAAAGACAGGCGTGAGAAATTGCCTGGTTCAGACATTTGACTGACGACCAGAAGGTGCGGGGAATTATTGTCATTTGAAAATAGTCTGGGTCCCGACTTAATATCGAAATCGAAATGAATAAAAACGAGTCCGTCTCTCCCTCCCTGTAGAGCCGACCTACAACTCAACCCCCACAAACCACGAAACGGTCGTTCTCTGCCTACCTCAGGCACCATCACTTCCAGGAATGATCGAGCAGGATGTGACTCTGCAAGAAGCTCCCCGAGGAGAACTACCCGTGGCCTCGCTATGGACTCGATCGCTCATCGTCCGTAAATCCCTCCTCTTCCACATGTCGAACCGAACTGGATCAGAGTTCTGACGACGCGGTGAAATAACAGGCAGGCGCCTTCGCCGGCCTCACGGTTGACTTCTCCCTATATCCCCTAGACACGATCAAGACACGGCTGCAGTCTAATCTGACGAGCACGAGCAAACATGCATCCTCCATCGTCCTCCCTCGCCATACCCTCCAAGGGACGCTGCGGAGCATGTACGCCGGGCTCCCCTCGGCGCTGCTTGGGTCAATGCCGTCCGCTGCGTCCTTCTTCGTCGTCTACGACGGTGTCAAGAGATCGCTGATCGATCCAACAACAACACAGCCATCTCCGCACCAGGCCTATGCGCACATGCTGGCCTCGTCGCTGGGGGAGATTGCGGCCTGCGCGATTCGCGTGCCGACCGAGGTCGTCAAGCAGCGCGCCCAAGCAGGCCTCTTCGGTGGCTCAGCCCTGCTCGCACTGCAGGACATATTGGGACTCAGAAAGGCAGACGGTTACGCGACAGTGGTCCGCGAACTCTACCGAGGCGGCGGCGTGACTATCATGCGCGAAATCCCCTTCACCATCACCCAGTTCAGCCTGTGGGAATACTTCAAGGCCTCCTACTCAGATCGCCAGCACAGACTCACCGGCCGCCACGAGGGACAGGTCACGGCTGCGGAAAGCGCAGTCTTCGGCAGCGTCGCAGGCGCCATTGCCGCAGGGTTCACGACCCCGCTAGATGTGCTGAAGACGCGAATCATGCTCGCTCGTAAAGAGGCAGGCATTGCTACTACTGGGTCGTCATCCTCCTCTGCTCGCGCCGGGCCCGCGAAAGTCCTGCAGCAGATATGGAGGGACGAGGGCGCCGCGGGCCTGTTTCGCGGCTTCGTGCCCCGTGTCGGCTGGATCAGCACCGGAGGCGCCATATTTCTGGGCACGTATCAATATGTGTGGAATCTCCTGGGGTCTGAAGAATCTTGAACGTACCTTTTTGGCCCGGCTCAATGTGTATCTTCCGTTGATCCCATCATTTCTCTGTAGATTACATGCGCAGAGACTTTGCAGTTTTTGCATTGGAAAAACGGAAAAGCATACTAAAATTCAGACCTCTGTATGTAATTCTACAATTGATATCTTTTTTTTGTCGGTTCTTGTTTTTCTGTCTTTTTCTCTTTCAAAGCAAAATGTCGACCGGCGCTCGCTTGCAGCATCCAACGCACCCATTTTATCGTCTCAAAAAAGGTCTCTCATCAGGCCCAGATCTACCAACCAACAACGTAGCATCATCATCCTCCATCTAGCCTTGTGAACCCTTCCTTGCGTCAGGTGGTCGCACAGCCCCAATGCGCGCGCTTCCAATAGCTGCAGTCACCAACACTCGCGTACCCTGATAGATCTCCTGTTCTCACGATTCCCTCAACTCTATCTATCGCACTACACCCGTCGTCTCCTCACTCTCAACGTCCGTGGGCACCTGCGCGGGATGGGGCAATGTCAACTTCTTCCTCCCGTTGCTCTTATAGTACAGCACCACATCGCCGCCCGTTCGCCAGACGTGCACGCGTAGCGTGGCTAGTGTTGTGTTGGGATGGACAAGTTGGTTTTGGCAGTATAGTTCCAAATACTCCTCCGGCTTGAGCTGAGATTCCGAGCTCTGTTCTGCCTCCGTAGTAGGGGCTATGTCTGAATGCGGGGTCTCGGTGGGTTGTTGCCCCTCCGTAGTGTCGGTAGACTGAGTCGGTTGAGGAGGAGGAGCTTCAATCCTCTCTGCGATGTACGCCATGATTTTCTTTGCGCGGAGCATGCGATTCGCGTTGAGTCGAGCATTGCCGTCGGGCGAAGCAATGGGCGGGAGCAGATTCTCATAGGGGTGTAACACGAACGACACCTTGACGGTGTCTTTGTAAGGGATTTGGTTCTATACATACCACAGAGTCAGCGTCTTTGGTATCGGTCAAAAGGAGACGAAAAATGCTGAGACAGAGAAGGGCACAGAAAGGAGATGACGATCTGGACTCACCCGCAGTAACAAGTCACCTAGCCACATCGGCGCAATCTTCTCAAGTGTATCCACCTCCGCAGGATTTCCCAACTCACTGATCTCCCCTCTGTACTGGTCCGCCAACCCACCACTTTCTGGATTGTCCTCCTGGATGATAATCGTGGTATGCGGTGGCGGACTCAGCACCGGTGTCTCCGTCGGCGGAGAGGGAGTTATCCCCTGCGGCAGCGGTTGATCCGTTTTGGACTCGAGATGCTCATCATACTCTAGGCGGATCTTCTGAACGACACCAAAGAAATTATCTTCGATGTGAACTTTCTCGATATCTTTCTCGGAGGACCGGAGGGATGCGGTGTCAGAAGATCTTTCTTCTGTTGATGCAACGGGCGCCTTCACTTCTGCAGAGGAACGGCTGGTCATCTTTTTGGGGAAGGACATGCCCATGCCGAACTTCTTGCCAAAGAGACCCTTTTTCTTCTCCTCGGTCGGTGATGTTGGCGTCGAGAGGGTTCCTTGAGCGTTGCTGTCCGTCAAGGCCGGGCCACCACCGGGTGTTTTGGGGACTTTCTCGCTTTCCGAAGAGGCCTCGGACTGACTGTTAGCCGTAGTATTGGTCGAGGAGAAGTAATCGACACTCTGGGATTCCGTCGCTGACGGCGTCGGCTGCACATGAGGGGTTTGGACTCGCGGGGTTTGTGCTCGCGACGACCGAGAAGATGCACCATTGGGAGTCTGTGCTGTCTCTTCTGCGGTGGGAGGAAGTGTGGTGTTCAATGGCGCAAAGCCCGGTGTGGCTGCGCCGATTGCTAACCCAGGAGTTGCAGGAACCATTGAGAAGCCGTTCGATGCACGGGGAGTCACAACTGTCCCTGGTGACACCATGGGAGTTGTCCCAACAGATTCGGGCAACTTGATGCTAGTTGGTGCACCAGGTCGAATAAGACCACTATGAGGAGCAGTGCTGACTGGATTTTGGAGCGTGCGTCTATAGGCTTCATCTCGAGCAACTTCTTCGTCAACGAGCTTCGAAAACAAGTTGCGGAGTACCCATTTGCCCAGATTGACTGTTCAAGTCATTGTCAGTTCCCGCTAATAATTGTTTCGGATTGGAAAGCCGTCCTACTTCTCTGGTCCTCGCGAAAGGCAAGATTGCTGGGCAAGTCGAGCTCGTCTGCATACACCTCGGCATCAAAACAGTAATTCTCCTCGAGCATAACTGTAATTTTCCCAGTCTTCGTATCCACGGCGCACCAGTTGGCGACGCTTTCAGTAGTGTTGACTTCCGGCACCACTTCGTCAAGATGACGACGGCCAAAAGATTTGATGGGAATACACTGTTTCAACGTCAGATTGCGGTTATTGCCTTCAGGGGAGATGCGTCTTGCCTTTAAAAGGTCCCATAATACTACCTCGCCGGCAGTATCCAATGTGAGTATTCTTTTTCTATCACTTAGCATGACGTGTTTGATGAGTCCGTTTTGCCCTTCGATGGTCTCGGCAGGTTGGCCTCTAATAGGGACCACCAGACTCAGATCATCCGTTATCATAGCCTCTGAAGCCTTTCTTAAATTTGTCGACGATACATTGGGATGCCTGCCCAGATGTTTCCTACCGGGATGAAGAGCCGTGATTGAGACGCGCAAAATCGCATTGTGAGGAATTCTCTTCTTGTGCTCGACTTCGCCGTTCGTGGTCCCGTTTGTTGTTGCAGGAGGCGAAGATGCTGGGGGCTCGGGGCTTAAATGACTTCGCGCCTCTGGACTTGCAGTCCTCTCCTCACGCGGCGACGCGGGCGGAGTTTCAACCTCGAGCTCAGTATCGACGTCAAGCCAGCGATTGACGCTTGAGCTCGAGGTTGCTGTCCAAACAGAGTCACCCACAGGGAGTACCCGAGCAATACCGTCGTGTTCTTGACACACCGCGACGGACACCCCGTCATCAATCTCCATTGCCCGTCGAGTATCAGTCTTTGCCACTAGACCTGACTTATCTCCAGAGTAGAACACAGCCAGGTTGGGATCGTCCGAATACATGCACCAAACGCTGTCGCTGTGCATGGTCAGAGTATGGATGCATCGACCGGCCGCAATAGACCAGACCTTGATCGTCTGATCAGACGAAGCTGTGAGGAGTGTATCGCCGTCATCACTGATCAAGATGTCCCTGACATTGTCCGTATGCCCGACAAGCTTGGTTATGCCTTTGCCAGACTTGGTATCCCACAGTCGAACTACGCTCTCAGGCCCTCCACTGGCTAACAGAGATCCTCGCGCCCGCAGGCAGTACACAGATCCCTTGACCACATCCTGTACCTTTCCAACGTTGATCTCGAGGTTCTTGCCTCCTCCGTTCAAGTCCCAGAGGCATATCCTGTGGTCCAAGCCTCCCGAGGCGACCCAATTGGATGTTCGGTCGGGCGTTGCAAGGCATTTGATATAGTCACTGTGAGAACCGATGGTGTATGCTTGCGACGATTCGTGAGCGTGAGGACGCCAGAGCTTGACAGTGACATCCGACGAGGCAGAGACTAGCCCAAGATTGTTTTTGACCAGGACAATATCATTGACCCAGTGGGTATGCGCTTGTACCTGCTTGCGGAATGATACAGTGCTCTTCTTGTCCTTTGCAGCGTCTGCCCCTTGTTGATTCAGTCTTTGTGCCTCCAAGTCCAGATCCCAGGCGCAGATCACGCCATCCCGACCGCCAGTGTATCTATACCCTTGCTCAGTATTCATTCGTTAGGATCGGCTTGAAATGGGGCGGTTGCGCACAGTATGGAACGATCCTCGTCAAAGGCTAAACCGTTCACCCCGAGTCTATGGCCACCTGGCGTACTCGCCAGAGGCAGAACTGCTCTTCATTAGCCATACGCACTCCGTGTGAGCAGGGATGGCAAACCATAGCTGATCCTCTGACGCTTCTTCTTGGCCATATGCGGGTGATATTGAAGCCGCTCGCTCGATTCTCTAACCTTTGCGACAAACACAACTGGTTTTCCTCAGCCGGCCATTTTCGCAGGACAAAGGCTAGAAAACGCTAACGTGACGACGAGTCCACCTCAACTATCCTTCAGAGAGGTTGCAGGAGAATGGAAGAGCTGCATCGGCAGATCAGGTAGTATTTAGCCTGCGCCGTTGTGAAGTGCGGGCGCAGTGGACTGCGGATGGCACGCCAGTCAGGAGCTAGTCCTGGAGTGCCTGTTCCAGAAGCTGGGGGCGGGACAAGGCCGCCGTCATCCAGATACTGAAATTACACACCGGGGTAAATTGACCCGAAGAGGGTCGAGAGGGGAGAAAAGGGTGCTTGTGGACTTTGTGGTTTCCAATATAACATACCTCAAAAGGTCTCATTTGTGTTGAACGTGATAAACTGGTATCTACACATAATATAAAGGCGCCTCGCAGATGGCATTTTCAACACTCAGGGTTTCTCCAACACGCATTCCAACAAAGGCCCCTGACAAAAATCGTAAGCATCGGATCACCCATCAGGCTCCCAATGCGTTCATTCTTCCAAAATCTACACAATGCGATCCCATTAGTGTTGCTGTGAGACAAGAACATGGCCGTTCCATCATAGATCTCCAGGACCCAGATTGGCAATCCGATTCCAGCCTTATCCGTTACTTGGCTGGTGGAGGTCCGCCAGATCCAGCCTCCAAGACATGTGTGTGGCCTTCTGCGTGGTGAACAGTCCCGTTTTCCTCTTGATAACAGACTCTGGCGCTCAATACCCAGTCGTCCTCAAGCACTTCTTCCATCGTCGCTCGTTCCGCTGGGTCGATTTTCAGCATGCGGCCAATGATGTGACGGCTCTCCCGCGGAAGAATACGGAGGAGTCGCCATGGGCCTTTAATCACTTCTTGTTTATCCCCACTGGATGTCGAAGGCCGCCCTTCATCCACGTTTTCCGAGTGGTGATGATGGTGATGCGACGAATTAGCACTGCCGTTGGCTTCGGAGTGGTGCCGAGAGGTATTATCTTCGCCGGGGCTTAGATGCGAGGATTTCCGTGGGTGTGAATCTGGGACCGGTGTGCCCGGTGTCGGCGGAGAAGCGAACAGTTTGTAGGAATTGTCGACAAGTCGAGGTTGCTTCCATGGGAAACGGCGAAGGGACATACAGCAGAAGATGATTGCCAGAGACCAAATGTCCGTGGCCGTCGGGTCGTACTTCTTTTCCTCGTACACTTCCGGGGCAAGATAGGGGTCGGATCCAACGATTCCTGCAATATCATGTTAGAGAAACCTTTCATCAGGGGGAGCGATTGACGAACCCGAGGCCAGTACAATTTCGTTCTCAAAGGGATACCTGAACACCGTGGCGCTTCCAAAGTCGATCAATTTCATTATGCCATGCTCGTTTACCACGACATTATCCAATTTGAGGTCGCGATGTGCGAGCCCCATACTGTGCAGATAGCTGACACCGTTGACAATCTGAAGGAAAGAACAGGCGATCTCTTCTCGCGTCATCTTACCCGTCATCACGATAGCAAACAGATCGTATGGGGCATACTCCATCACCTCGTACCAACGATGGTTTTCTTGGATAATGTCCATGGTTTCGATAATATTGCCATGATGTAGAGTTGAGCCGATGCAGAATTCTGCTGTAACTTTCTTGGAATAGTCCTTCTCACTCTCCCAGGAATGTTTCTCTCGGAATTGTTTGACGGCAAAAGTGACTCCATCGCTGCTGCGCTTGAGTAATCTCACGGAGCCGCCCGCGCCAGAGCCTAGAACTTTACCAAATTTTCCATACTTCGCCTCGAGGCTGTGATCATCCATGAACGGAACATTTGACGGCGGAGCTTGGTGGGGAGGCGTCCTGGTTCCAGACCTGTGACTAGATTTCCGCGAGGCTGGTACACTCGACGCCAGTGAATCTGAATTGTTATTGTGCTTCTTGTGGCCATGACCAAGCCGGAAGAATCGTTTTAGTTCAGACATTGAGCCATGTTTCCTCCCATCTAAGCCACTCTTCTCGCTACCACTATCCGTGACGTGGGAATAAGGATCTTTCTTGTTTGAACCGAATATCGATGTTCGCTTGTCAGAGAGGTCGGTAGAGCTTGATTGCCGCGGTATCCGCTCTGCTGCCGCTGCAATAGCTGGGGCCAGAGAGCCTCTTCCCAAACTTCCAAAATGCCGCGGCTCAGGCGGTTTTTGTTGAGCACCAGGCTGTGGGGAGGAAGGCCGAAGTTTAGGTGTCCCAACGGGACTTTGATCCGCTGGGGTCGCAGATTCAGAAGGGCCAATCTCGAATTTGGCTATACGCCTCTCATGTCCTTGTTCTGGCTTCGCTGGGGCTTGTTCGGAGGATCGAGGTGGTGAGACCGGATGAGAAGGCGAAATAGATTGGGACAGAGCCCTGCCCTGCGAGTCTGGAGGTGGGGATGTTTGCGGAGTTATCGCGTTTTGACCTTGCTGGCCACGTCCTGCAGAGACAGTGTCTTGTTTCCCGTCTTTTGAGCCATGTGGTGTCAACGGAGGAGATTGAAATGCAGAGGACATGGAGCCGTGGCCCTGTCTTATCGAGCCACGAGGAGTACCAGGCGTCTCACTCTCTCTTGAGGGGACCTGAAAACTTTCGTCAGCTTGACACAGTAAGATGGAACATTCCGCATACCCGTGAGGGAGGCATAGACACCGTTTCGTAGGCAAAATTTGCCATGCGGCTTTCCTGAAGCCGTGACTTTTGTAGAGACATTGCCAAGTTCCTGATCTGTTCATGGGCTTCAGGGCTGAGTTCCTCATTCTTCACTCCACCAGGTTGGGAAAGACGCCTTGACTCGTCCAGAGGGTCTATTTCTTCATTTCCCGAAGCAAAGCGCACCGCACCTTGCGTTGACTCTGCATTGGCTTTTTTCTCGGGGTTCTGTTGCTCTTCTTGCACCACTTTGGTATCTAGAATCGCTGTGTCAGCTCGTTGCGCTATGATTCTGCTCTTTCAACACCTCTTTTGTACCTTTGTCGCCTTTGGCGTCCTCCCCAGGGAGAAACATCGCAGACAGCTTGGAGGCCATGTTATCGGAAGATCGTGGGCCGGAAGAGCGCTGATTGCGGTAGAGATCGGAAGCGAAAGTGATCGACTACATTAACGAGTGGTGACTCCTGTCGAACTTTGCCGAGAACAGTGAAAAGATGAGATATGGCTAGAAATGAAAGATCTGAGTCGATTTCATGTTAGAATGGAGATTACTATCTGAGGACGTTGGGCTGGGGTGGCTCGTCGAGGGGGACAGATGAGCTAATACGGGTAGCGAAAAGGGCATTGGCCGGGTCAGGAAGGGAGACGGAACCCACATGCTGTTCAGTTACGTCGAATGCGAGATTTTAATCTGTTGAACCCGATCTATTAGACGCAATCGGAAAGACCGAGAAGAAGCGGATCTGGTGGAGCGACAACTGGGCAGATGAGAGTGTAGGAAGTGAGACGGTAGCAGGTCTGGCATATGAAAGCGGTGTCCCAGGATGTGAGGTACAGTAATAATATAATAGCTGTACCTGTACCGAGTATGCTCACTTAATAACCCACGAGTAAGGCGTCGAAAAAATGCGGCAGGACAAGCGGGAGAAATTTCAGCGACTCAGCGAGCCACCATCTCTGGCAGACTGGCACCGAGCACACCGAGACGAATAAAGGTGGGATGTTCAGAAATTGCCCCGCTACAGGCCCATCTCAGCGTATCATTACTCCTTCCAGCGGCACCAGGGAGTGTTCTTCCGACTGCGTGCTCTTCTCGTACACGGGTCGATGGCAACGGGGAACAGGTCCCTCTTTCCGTTCTGACAATGGGACAAATGTCATTTGGGCTGACAAGATCAAGCTCATGAGGCCGGCTCACGGGGTCCAACGATAACCATGCGTCTCCAGATGGGCATCCCATGCGTACCAAGTAGTTTACCACCACCGCTGCAGCTACTCGTTCCGGGGGAAAAGGCATGGCTAGGATTCGCAGATCACCGAGCGGGCACAGAAACAGCCGAACGGGCTTATTCAAGAGGTTGTGTGACAAACCATCTCTCTGAGCAGCTGCTTGCAATATTACATGGTATTTTTGCTCTCGCTACTTTGCCTTCGGCTTCTGTTCCTAGGATTTCCTTCCGGCCCAGCCGGAGACAATATGATGACAACGCTGCACATCATACCCAGTACACCCACTCTTTACCCATTCGAGGCTGACGAGCTTCGGTGTCTGCCTGAAGGTGAGGCGCAAGGTTCTTTTCTTTCAGGCAAGACGTCATCTCGGTCCTCGTATCTTTTTGGAAGCTTCCGAGCGACGAGTCATCTTCGCCATGCTAAGAGTCTTTTGATTTGAGCACGCGTACTTCGTATACAATGACCATTTTCCATTTTCCATTACATGTGCCACCAGGCCTGATTCTCACATTTCGTGGTTATCCAGATTCCACCGGAAACCATGGGACAAAGTGACCCTTCCTTGGGAATGCCGCCGACCCCACGGGGTCGCGTGCTTGTCTGATGTGTGCTTGATGCAAGATAGTCGATGGTGGTTAGAGTAACCGACCAATATCCCTTCTAGGAGTTTGCCCATTCCTATTCTCGGCTTTCTCTCGGCTCATCCTGAGATATTCGCGAGTCTCGAGGATGATAAAATGTGATTATCTCCGCGCTGAACGTTGTGTTCGCTCCCATGACCCCGTTCGCCTTGAACACGTTGCGGCCAAGGGCGCTCTTCCATGGCTCAACTGAAGGATTGTGCCGACGTCGATCATCGGCCTTGATCCCGAGGTAACTTTTATCCGCCAACTTGCATGAGCCATGCTTGAGATTGGAGAGACACATATGGGGATATTGTAGCTTTCCCGATCCTCGTCTGTTGCCAGACTTCTCGGCCCGTTTGAGCGGAGGTGGGGAATCTGCCCAGCAGTAGATATCGATAAAGTGGCAAGTATCTCACGGATCGAATGGTCCATGCCTCGGCCAATTGAGCAATGTCGACCAGAGCCAGAACTGCTCAGAGACTCGACTTGAACGGAGACAATCGTGTCTGATCTGGTGGCTTCGATTACGGCACGACTTTAACGCCAATAGACTTGCATTGCCACATGATGCATTTGCATAAAGCTTCGAGACTCAATCCGGACAGTCGCGTCTCACTTTGCTTGATTTTTGCAATCTCGTATATGTGTTTGAGTGAAACAGTACCGACGCTTTCGTGGCCTGGTCGTTGTGCACCCTTAATTTTGCCTTTTACTTCTTTCACTCCAGCAGCTTGGAGGAGTAGCCAAGATGTGTTCGGAGTGCGTACGTCGAAGCTGAAGGAGCGGTCTGGCCGGACCGTAACTCGCGCTGGAATTGGTACACCAGGAGTAATATGGGCGGTGCGAGCATTGAATTCCTTCCCAGACATCAGCAAGGCCACTACTCTACCGCTCTGCTGAATATCCATACCTTGCAGAAGTCCATGCTCTTGACGCCTTTGCTACCGAGGGCGGGACCAACAGGTGGACTCGGACTTGCTTGGCCAGCGCCAACAATCAATTTGACGATCTGATCACGAGCGGGCGTCTTCTTCGCCATAACGGAGTGGTTTTCGGCGCCTCGAACGACACGATGGGGAATGGGAGAGGTGAGTTGTCAATGTAGAGGCGGGCTGGCGTCCAGAGGAAGTCTTCGATTTTGTTGCGAGGAGCGGCAGTAGTGGAGTGATGAAAGATGGATTAATACGAAGCTTGAGATTGCGATGAATCTTGGAAAATATTGAAGCTCGACTGAATGCAGCGAACGTGACCCCTGTAGCACCAGTTGCAAGGAGCGTAGTTACTTGCGGCTAAACCACGAAGGATCTAGCACAGGCTGCTGACTGGCATCCCGTCTGCATCCGCCGAGACGGCACAAGGGCGCCTGGACTTGGGCAGCCTCCAGTACCCTGCACAGGGCAAACAGGGGAAGCCTTAGCCTTAAAATTTCGTTTAGTCACTGGGCGGCCTCTTCAAGTGCGACAAAGATTTCCCCCCAAAGGCACTGCTGGCATCCCATTCGCTTATGGTGACGTCGAATTCCCCTGGATCGCTGATGGATCAGTTACTCCCGTACATCCAGAGGCTTACATTTTGCCTGCTGTACTTGTAAATGATAAACATCCATTGTTCCCTTGCCAGTCTCTTCAGATCCTGTGTCGCAGTACTACAAACAGCATGAATTGGTTCAAGCAGCAGTTAGCCAACGTCGTGGGCACCGAAGAACCCGAATATGGGCCTTCCGCCGTCCAGCCCGTGACCAAGCAGGAAGTGCCCTATTCTATCCTCTCCAAGGATGATCTGCGGTGGAAAGCCATGGATCACACAAATGTCGAGACCGAAACATTTTACTTCTATGCCGACGATGGGACAACTGCTATGGCTCAGGTCATTTACAGCAATGTCGGGTAAGGATTGCATGATCACCCACCGAGAGGACCGTTGCTGCTGGAGAAACGCGCTGACTATCAATTGGCAGTGGAATCCATACAACGGCCCAGTTCAATAGCAAAATCTTCAACTACGAAGGTCCGGGAAAACATCTCTGGTGTTCCGACCCACTGAAGGACTACGGCTTCGACGAACCAAAGACAAGCTTCTACGCCGAAAATGTGGCTTTAGAAATGAACGAGGCAGGGGACACATACACCATCAAGTCTGCCAGAAACGACAGCTGCATTGTCAATTTGACGGTGAAAAGAAATGCGCCGGGATTTCAACTCGGCAAAGATGGCACAACGTACTTCGGCACGGATCATAAAAACCCGTGGGGTTCGATGCGACACGCCTTCTGGCCCCGGTGTACAGTAACTGGCACCATGCAGACACCCACAAAAACCTACAAATTGGAGGGGAAAGCCACTTACATCTACGCTCTTCAGGGGATGAAGCCCCATCACTTGGCAAATAGGTGGAACTTTGCGAACGTTCACACGAAAGACTACTCGGCCATTCTCATGGAATATACGACACCCGCCTCCTACGGCAAGACCACGGTTGGAGTGGGTGGCATCGCCAAAGACGGCGAATTGATATGCGTCGGCGAATGTACCGCCGAACATCTCACGTCCATGAGAGAGACGCCTCATGACTGGCCAGAACCAAGGACGATATTGTGGAAGTGGAGCGGCGAAAAAGACGGCAAATCTGTTCAGGGTGAGGTCAAGGGCAATCTGCCTGCCAGGTCTGATAGGGTGGATGTCCTGGCGCATTTGCCTGGTTTCGTCAAGTCCTTCATCGGTCACGCAACAGGGTTGAAGCCACACATCTTCCAAGTAAGAACACCCCCCTTGCAACTCCTCGGCACGATACCTGCGATACTAATATGTTGAGCAGTATCTTTCAGATGACCAACTCGAGCTGAAAGTCAAGGTTGGTGATGAGGAAGAGCTCTCCGAGCCCGGCAAAGTATTCACAGAGGCGACGTTCATCTCGTGAAGACAAGATGCCAGATTCAAGTTTCGTGTATTCATGACTTTGCATGACTGGAATAGAAATTGGATGAGGGCTGGATAGGTAAATCATGGTTTGAATATGCGAGATGCTATCCCTTAGCAAGCTGTGTTAATGTGTAATTCTTCGATGCTCTTTCGTTCTTCACTCAACAGGACATCACTGTCTTCCCTTTTGGCCCCCTTGTTCTGCGGCTTCAATTCCCCTCTCGCTTAGGCGCCAACACTTGCAGGCTTCTATCCTTCGACTCCTTCAACCCGCTCTCACTCGCTCAGTCGAGACGAACGTTGTTGAGATTTGTCATCTCTTACTCACTTCACCGTGTCCTACCGCTGATCACTCGTGTTATCTCTTCTCGCAGTAACCCTTCCCAGTCTCAACATGCCGACACCGCCACTAGGCTTTCCCAACAAAGGTCTACATGGACAGAGAGTGCCGAAACGACACAGAAAGCTCTTAAAAGACAATATCTACGGCATCAGTGAGTACTGTTCATTTGCCTTGCTCGTCGATCTCGGGCCCCCTCATTGATATGCGACGTGAACGGGAATGGCTTAGCTGACTGGAACTTTTTAACAAACAGCAAAAGGTGATATCAGGTACGATTGTAACTCCATCGTGACCTCACTGATGTCGCCGTGCTAATTTGGCGACTGTCTAATTAAGACGCCTAGCACGTCGAGGGGGCGTGGTTCGGATTCAGCACGAGATTTACCACGCAGCTCGCAGCGTTCTGAAGGCAAGACTGACCGAGGTGAGTTCTCAAGCAAAGGCAAAGGCGACGTCCGAGTTTGTTTGAAATTCTATCCAAACCCACCGAGTCATAGCTGTCCGCGCTACGCACTCTGTAAAGGAGCGGGAAAAGGAAATCAAGTTCTCATCCGCGTTTGAAACCACGAAGCTGACCTACGACATTTTCATCCAGATCATCAAGAACCTCACGTTCGTCCTTGGCAACTCAGGTGATCCGAACCGAGACGACGGGCCTCTCGAGGGCGTACATGGCAAACGCAGAAGGGTAAGTGGTTCATCGTTGACCCATTAGAAAACAGTGTCGACACTTTGAGTACGTGAGGGATTTGGTTGAATGACTGACTGACTGACCGATTGATACAATAAACACAGACGGTGACGACCAAAGACGTGATATTCGTCCTATCCCGAGTGAGTTCATCCAACAATCCTAGCCCCGTTTTTTCCCTCACCCGCCCCGTCGCAAGTTAACGTGGTCCATTACTACCAGATGGGGAATCCCGTGTACGGTTTCGATCCTCCCTACCACGGAGTCAGACGCCACGGTGCAATTGTCCATTGAGATATCTCCCTGGACTACTACTTATTGTGGTTGGGATGGAAGATGTTTCAGCCTGAGCTGATACGCTGCTGGAAAGGCGAATAATCAAATGAAGGTCATTCGAAAGTGAGACACCCGTCCGGTCCTGTACGCTGTGGATATGAAGATGGACGACACGAAGTCGCAAATTGAGAGTGAAGTCGACCAAATTTTATGAAAACCCACCACGAATGGAAAATCAATGTGTCAGGCTGTGATGGCTATATGCAAGCATGTCGAAGGCGTGGGTACCACGTTGGAAAGCGTTGAGAAAGCAGCGACCTAGTGATCTTGCTGTTGGCATACGAGGTGTGCAGCGGAGAAAGAGATTGTTGGACAGCACTGAAGGGGGAGCGAATTTCCTTTTTTTTTTTTTTTTACAACTTTCTCAAAACTGATGTGCTAGGAGCTCCCAAGATACAGACTGATGTACCGGAATACCGGTCAAAGGGACTATGTTGTCATCCTTGATATTGTGGTGAGGTTCAATACATGTGAGAACAACCTCGTTCGGTCCTGGGGCGTTTGAACGATTGCTACTTTCCCTTTGTTTTTCTAACTCTTCTTCCTCCACCCTCACTTTTCTTACCTTCACGAAGAGTCCAAATTTTCTGGCTCCGGTCTCTTTCTCACCAAATTCGCGATTAACACTTCAACAATAGCTTGCCTGTGGTCTTCCGCCCCTCCAAGTCGATGTGTGCCTGCTTTGCCTCGCTGAGCGGATACACCTTGTGGATTTTAATCTTCAGTTTTCCCGCCTTGATCAGGTCCAGCACGCTATTTGCGTAGTACTCCAATTCCGGGCGCGTGGTGATGTAGCCCATGAGCGTGGAGCGCATGATGGAGAGGTTCTTTGCTGTTAGGCGGGCGATATTAATGGGAGGAATGGCGCCGGAAGCTATTCTCGGAGAATTAGAGGTTCGCCATAGCTATGGGAAGGTATACAGGGGGCTGTTGAAACTCACCGTTACCGAAGTACACGACTTTGCTCTTTCTCTTTGCGACTTCCATACTGCCTTCATAGGTATCCTTGCCCACTCCGTCATACGTGCAATCCACACCTTCCCCGCTCGTCAACTTCAAAACCTGCTCGACCCAAGTTGGCCCGCCGCTGGCCTTGTAGTCAATTACATGTGTTGCACCATTCTCCTTAGCGAGAGCGCATTTCTCAGGGCCGCCAGCGGTGCCGATCACGGTACAACCCATTTCACTCAGCAGCTGGCAGAGGAGTAATCCCATCCCTCCTGCGGCGGCGTGAACTAGGATCGTTTCGCCTTTCTTCACTGGGTACGCCTCTTTGATAAGTGAGAGCGCGGTCATGCCCATGAGGAAGCCACCAACTGCATCTTCATCCGATACGCCTTGGGGGATTTTGATTGCTCGATCAGCAGGCACGGCCGTGTACTCGGCATAGCCTCCTTGCTTGATCCAAACCACACGATCGCCCTCTTTAAATCCCAGTGGGTTGTTTCCTTGTATCTTTGCGACTGTCCCAGCAGCCTCTTGGCCGGGGATCAGGGGATAGGATGCAGGGTACAGGCCACTGCGAAAGTAGGTGTCGATGTAGTTGACGCCAGCAAAGTTGTTTCTCACCAGGATTTCCCCGTCCTGGAGTTTGGGCAGAGGTTGGGATTCGGTGTATTGCAGGACGTCAGGCCCGCCGATTTGGGCGAAAGAGACCGCCTTCATTGTAGATGGGAGGGATGACATGGTACGGGTTGCCGTGAGATTCAGACTAAAGCGCGATGAGGGGTTCTGACGAAGGGACAGCTGTGAAGCGAGGCTGTGTAGGCGGGTGGTTGCTGTCGCTGTGGTGGTTATCTTGGTCAGTGTAGCTCGAGATCGTAAAGACATGGGATTTTATGACATGAGCTCGCGCCAATTTCGGAGCAATGGTGATATCAATTGCAATATAGCCTTTGATACGGAGACGGGGTATCTCTCGCGGGCTGTTTCCGTACGACTCGATGCTTCACCGGGACAATCTCCAATTAGCCATCCAAGGCAGTCAGACCTCAAAACATACTTATGTGCAAGTGTGGTACATGGTGAGGAGAAACGGAGTGCCGAAATCGTCGTCATATTTCTAAGCACGAACATATCAACTCGACTTTCTCTCCGCACTTTGTGGGAGGTTTCAATGGACTTGCCGATATCGCAGATGCTCCTTAATATCGGATAGAGGACCTTAGATGGGGAGTTCCGTTAGAGTCTTTCAGTCGACTGACTGAGCGCCGTCTGTACTTATGTATTTCCCGCAATGAATGCCCACTATTTTTGTTCTTGTTGGAGCCAACTAGTACTGCTTGAGACCGCCGTTCTGAATCGACGCGGCTTCCTGACTGACCCGTGTATGTACTCCATTCACCAACTTACCCCGCGAACCCCTCACTCTGGATGTGGCTTGCGATCAGGATGGGATGGCAAAACCACAAGGCCTATCGTGCCGATTCGGACCGCTGGCGCGGGAATTCCACCTATGTTAGGCCGAAGCCGAGACGAACTTCTTAACGGGGATTCCCAGCGCCTGGGAATGCTCTGGACACTCACAATCTAAGGCTGACATGAGTGAAGATGTGATTGGTAATTGAGTTATGCTTCCTGTAGTGGAACATGTGGTAAGCGAAAAGGGCTGAATGAAGATGGCGAGCTCCGGGGCGAGTAAATGGCAGCGGCTTGCGCCCCAGAGTCTCATGCTTGCAAGGCATGATCAACCAAATGAGTGACCGGTCTTCCGTCGACTATTTTCCACAAGTGAATACGTCGTACAAAAGTTCCAATTCGCCTCTGTCATGCGCACCATGAGATTAGTAGCGTATCTAGGCGGACATACTAAGTAGACTATTACTGTGGTTGTGGAACCCTCGCTGGACGACAGGGCAACGGGCAAAGCAGCAAAAGTGGTGTAGAAACGTCTGCATCGGTTGGACAAAACATCTGGCGTGACTATCGGGCCTTCTTCCTGTGAATGAAGAGAAGCTGAGTCATGTACAAGTAGCGCTGGGTGAAGTCATTTTTCCGAACGTGAAAGGACATTGTGGCGTTATGTATGGGACGAAAATCCTGCCATTGATGGATTGCCAACGAGGCTTGGGCAGACACCGCTATGATGGCAAGCCTCGCCACTGGCTCTCACCACATTTATTGTGGCCGTGCCCTCAAATGTGGCATTCTTCGCTGGTAGTCGATCCATGCCAGGCACCATGCACTCATGAGTGGTTCGCAAAATGGCCCGTCGAGATAGGTCAATCCAATTGGATCGAGAAGCTGGCAGGGCCTTTTGGCAAGTCGTTGGAACTTTCTTTACATCCAGAGTGTTTTTGCAATAATCCCCACCTCACCTCAGCTTCTTGCGGAAGTACATTGCAGAGTAACAGGTCCATCAAAGAGGTCGATGGGGGTTGCGGAGGCTGTGATGATGGCCCCGTCAGCACCAAGCATTGTTGAAAAGGTGCTAATATGCGTGCTAATAATGGTAAAACGAGGAGGACGGCCGAAGGATCGACGGTCGCGTTCATGGCGGCGTCCGAGTGTATATCACTGCATCAGTCGCCTGCCCGAAGGGATACGAGAAGGAATGCTCGCGCAATCATGCATCGAAATAACTGCAGCATACTCTTGTGCTACCCCCTATGAAGTATATACCTGAGCATCAGTGCCTCGTCCTGGCTTGTCAATTATGAGAACGGGTGACCACATGCTGTACCTACGTAGGCAAGGCGCTGGGAGGTCCAAGAGGCGCCAATGGGTTTGTGAAGGCCGACAAACGAGGGTAGCAAGAGGCGCAGAGGGCGGGCGGCAAGGCCGGGAAGGCTGGTTAGTGCTGTTGGCATCCATGCAAGAATGATGATAGTGGCACGGTGGTGCATAGTGGTGCACAGTGGTGGTGTTGAAGGTTTGTTTAGTTTTGTGTGGGGTGTTTGGTGCGGACAGCGCAGCTTCACCGTCTGGCGCAGTGTGTATGCCAAATGCTCGGTTGGGCGTCCAATTGTCGCCGCTAAGAGATTGAGAATCCTACCGATCCCCAACTTCATTCATCCTGACACAGAAAAGCCTCATCTATGTTCCTTGCTAGCATCCGTCTCTGTACTGGGTAGACCAAGGGACACCGCCATTTCTTCAACTCCCTCATCTCCACTTCACGTTTTGCCTCAGACAGAACCTCTCGGGTACCCACCACCACCACACTATGCCCCTCCGGATTGCAAGGCATTGCGGCCCGCTACTGTTCTCCTCTCTGTCCAGCTGCATTGTTGTCCAGCTTCCTTCGTATCACTGACTGGAGGATTCGAAGGCTTTGTCGATTGAGGCGTACTCGGCGAACACCTCTGAATCAAGACGATTCTAGCTACTTGGGAAGCCTGGCTATCAAACTACCTGCACGTCTTCATGCCCTGCAAATCAACACCTTGGGCCACGGAGCTCTTGGGTTGAGTCGATTGCGTTGCCTTCCTTCACCTGCTGCGGGCCCGAGTTCAGTCAAGAAAAGTTCATCCACCTGATGCATATGATGTGCTGATTTCGATCTGGTCTATCCTCTTACACGACCTACGCCCACTGCGACACAATTCGAAACGCAACCACCCCAACTCCCAACGCCCTAGATACGAGTTTCCTCAGGTGACAGCTCTGCGTCCAACAGCACTTGAAAACCGGTCCCCTTGCCCAACAACATCACAGAGACCGTGGTCAATAGCCTTGATGTATGGCCTGAGGTGCGTTAAAGATTTTGCATATAAGACTGGCCGGATTGCACGTGGGGCATCCTGGCAATGAGTACATGGTTCTGCATTCAGCTGCTGGGTTGAGTAAATTGAAATGGCCCAGATTTGGCCGCCGTCCCCATGCGTGGAGGACGAAGAAGTGGCTCTAGCGAGGGAGCACACACCCGGCATTGCTCTACATCAGTTGCAAAGTGACAACCAACCCGCAAGCAGTAGGGGCTCGGTGGATCAATATCCCATCATCCTCGACAACGAGGCCCCAGCTCAATCCCCCCCTTCAGAGGCCGAGCTCGTCTCAGATGGCAGATCTCCAAATAGTCATCGAGAACCAGCTGTGAACACTGAGAAGAGATTCGTCCTTGTGTCCTCCCAAAGTTCTGACTTCGGGGTTGAAGCTTCCCTGCCAGCTGAGCCGCTGCAGCGATCCAAATCGACAACTCAACTTTCAGATAATGACATAACGAGAGGAAGGCCTCATGTCACAAGGATATACACAGATTTGGGGCCAGGTCTAGAGGGCATGCGGACGGGCCGCCGCCGTGCCCCTTCACCCTACGCTCATACGCAAGCGGGTTTGACGGATGCTCTTTCACCGGAGACTCGACGTAAAGATACGTTGTTGTCGCCAATGCATGTTCGTGAGCCACGAAAGTCGGCGTCTGTACATCCTGGGACGCGAAGATCCGAACGAGACAGCAGTGACTCCGATCAGAAGTCAAAGACGAGGAGGAGAACAGAACGGAGTCGTAGTCGGGCTGCAAGGGAAAGCTTCTCCCACTCGGACAGATCAGAGTCTGAGAAGGTCAAGTCCCCAAAATTCCCCAGGCGAGACGAGAGCCCCGACGACCAATTTAGCCGGCGTGCTCGTCGCTATCGCAGCCCTGCTCCGCCCAGAGGAGGCTTTACTGGCTACACATACACTGGGCAAGACCACATTACGCCGCCTCAGACTCCAAAGCTCAACAATGATTCCGCACGATCCTCGGTTATTGACCATACTACCGTCCCCGAGCAGCTTAGCAACCGTCAGACGTCGTCGAGATTGACCACAGATTCTCCATATACCTCTTCCGCTGAAGAAGGTCATAACCGCCGTCCACGACCAGTTGATGAGAGAAAAGCTGATCGAGGAGGCCGATCGAGACGCAACTCGCGAAACTGTAGCGACAAAGACGAGAGACCGAAACTAACGCGCACACGTTCTCGACGCCATGACGCGTCATCCAGAGACGAGTCGAATCAAGAGCAATATTCCACAGACGAACGACCCCATCGTGAGGCCCAGACACCTTTGTCTGCTCGAACGACTTCCGCCATGGAGGACTTTCTCGAGAAGGCTTTTATAGCAAATAAAAATAAGCAACCGAATCACGGTGACAATCACTCTCGCCATGTTTCTCCGCGAGGCTCTCCAGCACAAAGTCCTCCACAAACGCCTCGTGCCGATGACCGGTCACCAAGGGACTATTTCGAACAAACTCACCATTCGTCAAGATCATCAAAACCACGGTCTCGTCCACAGTCGATTGATGATACACATTTCAAAGACATTAAGAATGTAACATCTCTCCTTGGAGCCGCGACGTTGGGTGCTTCCCTGGCAGCAAAAGCTATCCCTGCCCTTTCTCGATCGAACACTTCACAATCACTGGAATCACAAAGTAGTGGCTCTCAAAGCAGGCCAGCCAGCGGCCAGCGCTCAAGAAAACCTTCTCCAGTGATGGAAGAGTCCCAACCAGTGTATCAGAGTCTATCTAGGACGAATTCTACTGTATCTCGAAATGACGGCGCAAATACGCGGACCACAACCTACGCGATAAACGAAGAACGTCCTGCACCAAAGATTGCGCTGTATGCACCGGCACCACTTGAGCCGCCTCGCACAGCATCGAGATCGTCTTCTTATTCTCATTCTCCCGAGCTTCGCCCACCTGCCCCTTTCAGAGCCTTTTCCAGCATGGGTGCTCAAGGACTTCAACAGCCACTTCACTTCCCTGTCCAGTCAGCGCTGATGTCGAGCCCAATCAATTTAGAGCCTGGTACTTCCTTGCCCAATAGTGCACCTAGACCCAACTCCTTGCCTCCGTGTCCACGGTCGAGACCCACCGCTGGACACCACGATTGGTACACGATCCGGGACATGTCATTTCTAGATTTCTGTCCTACTTGCATGAGTTTTCTAGGCGCCACTCGCTTTCGCGACCACTTTATCCCGAGCCTGCCAAAAGAACCCCGCCGACCGATCGCTTGTGCAATGAGCTTCCCGTGGCTTCGAATTGCTTGGATGCAATCGATCAGACAAGATAGAAAGGATCTTACGCTTGTTTGGCAAATTGCCAATGGTCCACCTGCGGGGACCAAACCATGCGCTGGCACTAAAATCGATGTGAGAAGATGGTACCATCTAACCGATCCTCGAACAAAAAAGCCCGTGGACAATTTTGACATATGCTCTGCCTGTGTAAGAAATATTGACCTGATTTTTCCCACGCTTCAATTCTGTGTCTTTGATCGGCCACAGGAGAAGAAAGAGCAAGAGAAGATATGCAATCTAAACACAAACAGCCGCCACTTCTTATCTATTTTGAACGAGCTGGAGCGACTGGCAGATCGATCCAAGGAGACCATGAGGCACAGGGACTTTCAGGAGTTTGTAGATTTTATTCGCCGCATCTCTCGCAACCGGCACTGCGCGAAGGATACGTTACTGGCAACCCAGTCTTGGCATTATATCTCTGACCTTCCGGAGCTTACAATCTGTGAAGAGTGCTACGAAGAAGTTGTCTGGCCTGTCAGAGATCGACCGATTGCACGAGACGTCTCCAAGACACTCAAGCTTGTGCCTACCTTGCGCAAGAACTCCCTACTTCGAGGAACAAGTTGCCAGCTTTACAGTGATCGCATGAGAAGAATCTTTCATGATGCAGTGAGCCGAAATGATTTTGAGAGTTTGAAGTCGGCGGCTAGATACCGCTACAACATGGAGCATCGGCTGCAGGAGATGCACAAACTGTACGAAATGGATTTGCAAGCTGGTATCGACAGGAGGGTGGAGATGGAGAAGAATATTGCCATCTGGAAGTCTATTGAATAATGACTGATGGAGCACGGAGTCACGACTTATGTGCATGGGAAAAGTAAAGGGTTGGGCGTCGGAATGGACTGCACGAAGCAGTCAGGGGTGGGCTAAAAGCTGTATATGGACACCCCTACTAATAAGTCTTCAAGAGCGTCAACGCTCACATTTGCAAGAATGAATAATACTCCTTGGTTACTACCAATCGATATTACCTCTTCTGCCTCCTCACTGTATACACATGGGTTTCCCATCACTGCCAATCCGGTGCCTCAGGGGGAGCCTTCCACGTGACTGACCTCGCTTGACCTTCCGCGAATTCGGGGCATGAAGGGGTCTCCCAAGCTGCGGCCTTCGTTGCATGATGAGCTGTCTCTCCATTTACTCTCCGCGACTGCATCACACTCAATCACTTTGCAAGTTTTCTGGGATTGGTGAGGGTTCAAGATGAGTCTCATCTACCCTGCTGGTGGCGCTGTTGCCGCACTAGGAGTTGTCGGCCTTTGTATGATTCTGGACTCGCTCACTTCGATCGGAACCCATCACTAACGGGGGCTCCTAGATATGCTCTTCAATGGCGAGGGCGAACAATTTAATGTACGCAGCTGACCTCAACACAATGTACCCTTGTTCACACTCAGAGACTAACTCGCGACGCCGCAGGTCGGGCAATTCCTCGAGACAGTATCTCCGTACGTATGGGCAGATCTCGGTATTGGTCTTTGCATAGGATTATCGGTCGTGGGTGCGGCATGGTAAGGAATACAAAGGTTTTCTTGGATATTGCCTCCTGTTTTACGCTTTCGTACATTGAAAAGGAGCCAGAGCTTTTCTACCGACACTGCTGACCATCGCCTGTCTTGTAGGGGCATCTTCATCACTGGCACCTCTATCCTCGGCGGCGGCGTAAAAGCTCCACGAATACGAACGAAGAACCTCATCTCCATTATCTTTTGCGAAGTCGTGGCGATCTACGGTGTCATTATGTCCATCGTCTTTTCCTCCAAAATCAACATGGTACCGGAAGAATCACTTTACACGGGGCCGAATTACTACACGGGCTACGCCTTATTCTGGGCTGGAGTGACAGTGGGGATGTGTAATTTGATCTGTGGCGTGAGCGTCGGGATCAATGGGAGTAGTGCGGCTCTTGCTGATGCAGCGGATGCGAGTATGTTTGTGAAGGTGTTGGTGATTGAGATCTTCTCGAGTGTGTTGGGGTTGTTTGGGTTGATTATTGGGTTGTTGGTTAGCTCAAAGGCCGCCGAGTTTGAGTGAGCGCTGTGGTACTTGGTGATGAGCGAGCATTTCATCGCAAAGCTACGAGGAGGCTAGTAAACAGAGAGTGTTCTGCTGCGGAAGCAGGGCGGTAGGGCCGGCGTGCCTTGGCTCGAGCAGGTGGACGGAGAAAGCTCTCGGCAGAAGGTTGAAGCAAGACATTGGCTGGATGGGAATGCAGGATGATATTTGCATGAGTTCAGTCTGGATTCTGCATATTTACGCCAGGGAGGTTTTGCTGGGGGTTTCATGGCTGAACGTTCAAGCGACCCAAGGCGAGGCTGTGTTATGAGGACGGTCCACCCACGAACACATGCATTTCCGAATTAAAGGCTAGAGATCAATCAGTCCATGTCTTTCATGTCCAGTTGCCTGCCTGGTGAATCTCAGTGAGGATAGAGAGACCCAATCGAGGGTACTGGAGGAGTTAGTTATACAGCGCGAGGTACCCAGTCTCTTGTACGTTATTGCACTACCAGTAGCGGGATGCGCCAGATGCTTCGACGTATAAGTACATACGTCACTGTTTGTTGGCTTTTTCTCGAGTCTGTCCATCCAGCACTCAGGCTTCCGCCATGTCATTCGACATGATGGGTATGAGGTTTCTCGAACATCTGTCGTTGCTGTCGTCTGTTTGTATGCCTTTTTCTCTCTTTAGTTTCTCTTTGCAGCACGAAAATGTCGTAGGATGCATTGCTGGAGTGGTTGGCAGCAGGCCCTTTTGCAGGTCTCCAACAAAATAGCGGACTCGACTACAAGCAACTGTTTCTATTACCATGGCCCAGCTTGTCCATACACTGGGACCTACTTGTGCCTTCCACGAGGAAGAGCCTGATGACACCTCCAGCGACGGATTGACACCCCCGAAAGTTAAAGCACAGTTCTTCTACGTGTCTTCCCTCCCAATTGATGACCCCCTCTCTCCAGTGCCACCTGTGTCTGCGGACAAGGCTACCGATCTTCCCCCTCAACCGTTTTCGGCTCGAGACAACGCCGCCTTGGAAGAAGCATGGCAGACCTTTCAAAAAGCCGACAAAGGAACTTCGGGGCATGGAGGTGTAACAAGGAGGAGTCTTACACAAGGGCTATCTTCGTTTTCACAACTCAGAGACGCAACTCCCGCGGACGCCAAATCACAAGTAACAAAGTCTGGCTCATCTGGAACCGGGGGCAATTCTCGTGGCCGTACAAAAACCTCCCCAAAGTTTCCTCCACCAGGATCCGAGGTCATGCTGGATTATGCCCATAGCGGTCCGAAGGGCGTCACTCAACCTATCGATGCTGAAGAGTTGAAGGAAAATTCTGAAATTCAGCAACAGCCCAGCAAGGACACGAGCAAACATAAGAGGCGATTTTCGCCCTTTCATCGCCGACACAAAGAAGGAAAGGACAGCCGTGATTCTTCTCCGCAACCCGCAAACGTGGGTGAGACAGTTACATCTGGAACGCAACCTTCCCTGGACCCTGCTTCTGATATCAGCGGTCGACCATTTGCACGGGCCCCTAGCGGACGCAACATCAATTCCACCGTGACATACGAACCTGGGGAAATCTACACGAATGAATCAGAAGCTGAGCCTCGAAGTCGCTCTCGGAGTTCTGGGCGTCGTCGCAAGAAGGAAACGGAGAACGACAAAGCTTATGTCCCTGTGGGTGTATCTCGCCTGCATTTGGTTGAAATGCCTGATCTTGTGATGAAACCAATATATTGGTCCCCTATCAATGACACGTCCAACGTCATTCGGGCTACTTGGTTCTACAAGGACACTATGTTACCCGTTCCAGCTGACGTGGCAAATCGCCTAGAAGTCGGCTACGAGTACATAAAACCCTTTGGCCCCGCTTACCAAGAAGAATTGCAGGCCTGCATTGACAATGGCGCTTCTGCAGAAATGAAGGTGGTGTACAAGTTGTGGCCTGACGAGCCTAAATCCAGCAGACCTTCCACTGCCATGGACATAAAGGAAACAAATCAAAAGGACAAGCAGCGGAAGGAAAGCAAAGATTTGCCAGAAACCATCCAGAATGCTGCTGCAGACCCTCGAAACACCCAGCAAAAACGTCTGTTTGCGACTCACAGCGTCATCTACACGGATGCTCGAAATGCTCAAATTCTGAAGCCTAACCTGCTTCCTTCCATTGCACAGAATCGGCGACCTTTGAGTTCCCTGCGGAAAGGGAGACAGATTGGCGTGGCCGTTGTGCGTGGGTTTGACCGAAAAGCGTGGTTGAAGATCCATCCCGATCCAAAAATGGATGCGAAAGCTGCTCATGCGAAGGTCGGGGCCTTTATGTCTCAATCAGGAGATGCCACTACCCGAGGACGACGAGGGTCATGCCCGGCTTGCGAACAGGATAGTAAAGCACCAAAAGTTACTGACCTTGTCTTTGTCATTCACGGCATTGGGCAAAAGCTATCAGAAAGAGTCGACAGCTTCCATTTCACTCACGCCGTTAATGGTTTGAGACGGGAATTTAATGTTGAACTGGCAAGTGAAGTCATTAAAGGAAATCTGAGGCACGGAACGGGCATCATGGTTCTCCCTGTGAATTGGCGGTTGACAGTCTCATTTGACGAGGACATTAAGACTTCTTCTGAAGGCACCGAGAATAAATACGCCTTGAAGGACATTACCCCCGATACTCTCCCGGCTGTCCGATCCATTATCAGCGACGTGATGTTGGACATTCCTTATTATATGTCGCACCACAAGGAAAAGATGACCTCGGCGGTTATTAGGGAAGCCAACAGAGTCTACAGACTTTGGTGTCGAAACAACCCAGGGTTTGACGATTATGGCAGGGTGCATCTGGTCGCCCATTCGCTAGGCTCTGTCATGGCAATGGAGATTCTAAGTCAACAACCTACTCGACTTCCAAAGGACATCAAAATTGATCCCAAAAGGCCAAGTGAGAAGTTCTTCGAGTTTGACACGACAAACATGTTCTGCTGTGGAAGCCCATCGGGGTTCTTCCTGCTTCTTCATAACGCCAACCTTATCCCGCGGAAAGGTAGAGACAAACCCGGTACGAAAGGAGAAGACCGACAACCAGGGATTGCCAGTGAAGCCAAATACGGATGTCTTGCCGTCGATAACGTTTACAATATCGTCCACCGAAACGATCCAATCTCCTACCTGCAAAATGCATCCGTGGATGAACTATACGCGAAGTCCATTCAACCGGCAGTCATACCCAGTGCTAGTGTGAGCTTCATGACGCGCATCGGTCACAGTCTGCGCTGGGCTTCAGGGACCACCGGTGATCCGTACTCTGTCATCACTTCGCCAATCCGTCCGCAACTGACGCAAATGCCCAGCACAGTGGAACTGGAGACGCACAATTTTACTCGCGAGGAAATTGCCGAGAAACGCATGTATCTGCTCAATGACAATGGGCAGATTGATTGGTTCCTGTCAGCGGGCGCCGGACCATTGGAATTCCAATACTTGAACATGCTCAGCGCACATAGCAGTTATTGGATTTTGCCAGACTTTGTGAGGTTTCTGGTCGTGGAGATTGGGAGAGAGCCTGGGAGAAGTCACACATTGCCGGCGCTAAGAGCAGTGAAGAGGCGAGAATATAAGCGGGGGGACATTCCTTGAGTTGATCCTCTCTGTGCAAGTGTTTGATTCAAGAGCAGCATTGCAGGTTAGGGTTCTGTGGCGTTGAGGCATGGTTGCATCTAAGGGTGCCATGGGAGTAGAGACCACAGCCCCAGCGAAGGACAAGGCTGGAGAACCATAGAATTACGCTGACAGATCTGGTGTGTCACGACTTGTTATTCTTATGACATTGATACCCCCTCTCTGCACTCTGGTGGATAGACAGGCTGGGATACTTTGTACCTGCTGAATGCAAGAGCTTTCGGCCCCAATCATGAAATTGCGCTCGTCACGACCTCACGTACGGTCTACTATCATTTGCCTACATACCACCCTTCCTCCTCCATTGAAAACCGCTGTCAATTGTCAATCAATATCCAAGCACTATTCCGACCATCAGAGCCTCACACTCGCCGCCGTCTTCAATGTATCCCTCCCTCTGGGGGAGAACCAACAACCCATTCGCGCTCGCTAGACTGCCCACGCGCGAACTCCGCTGCATGCCCGTGCTGCGCGCCACGAGCTTCCCGTCATTCGGGTCCGCGGAGACAAGCACGCGGTGGTACTCGACGCGGGCCTTGTCGCAGCGCACACGGCCGTGGAGCCGCACCTTGACACGCGGGGCGCCCTGGGGATCTGGCAGGCCGGTCATGCGCTGGATGCAAGGGAGCACGAACAGGTTGGCCGTGACCAATGCGCTGGCGGGGTTTCCTGGTAGGCCGAAGATGAGTCTCGTCTCACGCCTGCTGTCCGAGCCTGGATGTGAGGCTTTGATAGGGACAGTGGCGAACGTGGTGGGTTTGCCGGGCTTCATGTTGACTCGGCCGAAGTGGACTGTGCCGCCCAGGGCGCGCTCGATGGTCGGTTTCAGCAGGTCGAGCTCGCCCATGGACACGCCGCCGGTCGTGATGACTATATCCAGACCGTGCAGCCGAAACGCGTCGCGTAGCTTGTGTTCGAGTTCGTGATGCGGCGTGTCTCTCGCGACGCCCAGATCCACCACGTCCTCGCACATCCGCCAGCCGCGCAGCAGGGTCAGCAGGGACGGCCGGTTCGAGTCGCGAATCATGCCGCCGCTGAGTGTGCCTTCGTAGGTGACATCCATCACCTCATCGCCCGTCGACATGACCCCGATCCGTGGTTTCCGGTAGACGGGGACTTTCTTTATGCCCGCCGCGGCGAGGACGCCGATTTCGCCACCCAATGCACTGATTTGCGTGCCCTTCGCCACGATCACTTGGCCCAGTTCGATATCGCTCCCTGGTTCGCGAACGTTTTCTCCTGCCACGAGTTCGTCGGTGAGGATTTCCACGCTGGCTTCTTCCTTGCCGTCGGGCGTGAGCGTTGAGATGACCGTGTCCTCCACCATTACTACCGCGTTGGCATTTTCCGGCAGCGGGGCTCCCGTCGTGATACGGGCTATTTGACCCATTTCGAGAGGTGGTGGTAAGGATGAAGCTTGGGCATGTGAGACAGAGGCGACCGGGAAGACGCCCTTGATGCTCTTCGGGGAGGTGGCCTCCTTGTCGGGGATGATGACAGCATATCCGTCCACTATGCTCGCACGGTAGGCTGGGACCGCCTCGGCGGCTTTGATGTCTTCGGCGGCTACATAGCCTACCAGGTCAGGCGATACGGATCTTATTTCGACTGTGCACGACGGTGTATTTTCAAAGATTTTCGACACGGCGTCTGAAACGTTCAGCATGGGGTATGGGGATGACCTGTAGCGTGCCGTGGCGCCCAGTCTAGGGTCGTTGGATTGAAGTTGAGGTCGCTCAGAGGGAGTGGTGTGGGCTTTTGGGACTCTGTGCCCGCCATGAACACTGCCGCCGCTTCCATGACTGTGATCATGGTCGTGGTTGTGATGGTGACCGTGTTGATGAAAATGATCATTTGTAGCTCCCACCACCAACGGTGCTGGGGTAGCACCGCCAGAACCTGACGGACCAACTCCAGCCTCCTTCTCTAGCTTCTTCACTCCTCCTACATGGGCGGCTCTAGAGTCCTGCCCTGCAGCCTGCAAGCAAGCATGAGGCAGCAGTTTCAACACAGCCTGGAGGTTCTCCTTAGCACCTTTGGGCGACCCGGGCAAGGTGATAATAATGGATTTATTCCGCGTGCCAGCCACAGGCCGCGACATCATGGCAAAAGGCGTAATCTGGAACGAAGTAGCCAGCATGCCATGGACGATACCGGGAGCGTGGCGATGGATGAGCGGTGCAATGGCTTCCGGGGTGAAATCCCGTCGCGCGAACCCTGTCCCTCCCGTCGTGACGATCAAGTTGACGACGCCACCGTTGGTGGTTTCATTCTCGGAATCCGTCCATGCGCGGACGATCCGCTGAATCTCTAACACATCGTCCTTCACGATCTCGACGAGCGGATCGCTCCATTTCCCGGCGCCGTCTTGGGAGAAGACGTCCTTGAGGATGGGGATAGCCTTGTCGGTTGATGGATCGACCGCCGCGGTGTCGGAGACGACAAGAATTGCTGGGCGGAGGAGGGGCGGAGGAGTCATTGTTATTCCGTCCGTGGCCTTGACAGTCCAGACAGATACTCGTTGGACCGCTGGAGTACGAGAGGAGTGCGGCTTTTTATACCTCCTTGAGCACATGATGCTCTGACGGCTTAAACCATCCGGCTCTCGGAGAAACATTTGTCCGAGATGGCAACTCCTCTTCTTCTTCCAACCCTGTCGCTTGTACGGGGAGTTCCTCCTCCTCCATCTACTACCTAGATTACTCGAGAACGAAAAACTTAATTACCATATACGGTTCAATCCTAGAGGGTGAGCGAAGGCCGCTTTAACCTGAGTTTTAACTGAGCCATTCGCTGAGCGTCAATGAGTGCTCCCTGAGCAACACACCTAGGGCCCGGCCCTAACAATCGGCTACACCCGCCTCCTGGCCAGGCATCTGTTTCTGACGAACTGCGGTGTATATACAAGGTATCTACTCAGTATTTATCCACTGTCTCATTACATCTTTGGAGAAGAGGGCATTTACGTTTCTCGAAGTTCTCGTTCAGTTTCCGGCCACGCTCTCAATTTTTTTTTAATGCCTCCTTCCCCCTTGGTTCGGCCTCTACCTCTACTAGCCTCTTAAAATTTAACTTAGGTTTAGACATGGCCGAGATCATTTTGCTAATAATTAACGAACAAGAACCAGTTAGGCAATACTAAAAGGACCTTAAATCACGACGACGGCACATGGTGCAGGAGCCGTCTTGTTTTCGTTCTCGAGTAATACCTAGTTGTCAACGTTTGAGGAGAAGCTTGCGATTCCGCTCGCTTGCAAGGAACGACATAATCCATCTGCCTAGAACGTACTCGGTAATCTCCCTTAAGTACGGAGTAAAGGGTATTTGTAAGGATACACTTGCGAGCACACACAATTCTTCTTCTGCCCCAAAAGCCTCCCTTTATCACCCAGCCATCGTCCCCCCCCGCCCGGCCGGAGCCTTGCCAGCCCTTAGGCGCATCTCAATTGGAGTTGTTGGGCGATCGATACTATGGACTTTATCGCGCCTCAAGCTCCCTTCTCCTTCTCCCCTGTAGCCTCAACTCCAACAAACCTGACGGCCACCTGCCTCTCCTCACCTCTCCCAAGCCCGACTCTGTTCGGCGGAGAGATCCTCAACGTAACCTCGTCGCTGGTCAGCAACTACACCGCACAGTTTTGGTATCCGCCCAATTTCTTCAATTCGGACCCGCCATTGTACGGAGAAGCCGGAAATCTCTTCTTCTGCAATGTCACCGTGACGTACACGCACCCGGGCCAAGACGACTCCATCAATGTAAATCTGTGGCTGCCCCTTTCAGTGTCGGATGAGCTCTACACAGACGCCAATGGCAACCGGCCAGATCATTGCTCGGTCACTAATAGTGGAACATCGCCATTTTGGAACGGCATTCTTCTCTCCCATGGCGGCGGTGGCTTCTCTACCTGCCTCCCCGGCTTTGTCTCTCATTCCGCCCTTTCCCAAGGCTACGCTATCTCCCGCACTGATGGTGGCCATCCAGGCCAATCCCTGACTACTCCTGACCAGCCTAAAACTGAGTCATGGGCCATGGTCTCCCCGGGAAACGTGAATTTGTACCTGCTGCAAGATTTCGCATCCACATGCTTGCACGATATGGCCGTCATTTCCAAATCCATCGTCGCCTCCTTCTACGGCACCGCTCCGAAGTACAGCTATTTCCAGGGCTGCTCCACCGGCGGGAGACAAGGCCTGATGCTCGCTCAACGCTATCCTGGGGACTACGACGGCATACTCTCAGCCGCGCCCGCGATCTACTGGCCCAAGTTGATTGTCATGCACTACCTCGCGCACATGATGATGCATTCCCTTCAGGAGTATCCTCCGCCATGTGAGCTCGAGGCGATCACGAAGGCCGCGATAGAGGAGTGCGATGAATTGGACGGCGTCAAGGACGGGATCATCTCGAACGAAGAAAAGTGCGAATATGACCCCTTCAAGCTCATGGGGAAGGAAATCCCTTGTGAGATGGAGTATGCAGACGACGATGAAAACGAAGATGATGAACGACGCCAGCAGCAAGCAAATCGCACAGTCATCAAAGTCGGCTACGCCGGCCCTCACATTGCATGGCACCTCTGGGGCGGAGCGCGGGGTTCCATCAGAGAACCCAACTGGCATCCGCTCACGCACTCGACACCCTTGACATCCTTCGCCTCGACCACCTGTTTCAGGAAAAACAACACCTGCGTGGCAAATCCGAGCCGGTTGATGCTCGACTGGATCAGGCTCTTCCTCTACAAAGACCCCAGCCTCACGGCCGAGGACCTCGCAAAGCGGATCACGCTCGACGAACTGGTCCGTCTCTTCCGCCAGTCCGACGAGGAATACCATTCCTTCCTCTCGACGAGCAGCCCCGACCTGAGCGCTTTCCACAAGCGCGGCGGCAAGATGATCACGTGGCACGGCACGAGCGACGAAGCCATCATGCCAGGCCAGACGGTGCAGTACTACGAAGAAGCCCTGCGTTTTGCGGCTTCTGGAATCTCCACCGACACGAAAGACTTCTACCGCCTGTTCCTAGCCCCAGGGATCCAGCACTGCGGTAGCGGGGAGGGCGCCTTACCGATAAAGGTGCTACCCCAGTTGAGGAAGTGGGTCGAAGAAGGCGTCGCCCCGGACGTGCTCGAGGGGGAGAGCTTTGGCAGAGACCACGGAGACAAAATCCGCAGGCCGCTGTGCATGTACCCCCTCGTGGCGAAGTACAAGGGCCATGGGGATATGAGGAAGGCTGAGAGCTTTGAGTGTGCGGGTTCTTTCTGAAATGTGACACTGACCGAAGTCCCGTGGGAAATTATGTCACCGAATTCTTGCGGCCGTTCGATATCATCGCGGTGGTGGTGGCGGTCCCTTAATCCCCCAGGGGCGCAGCGAAGAAAGCCATCGACAGGAGAAGGGAAACAAGGAAGCGACCCAAAAACATCTCGACACAACACCAACACTAAGCTAGCAGTGTGTGTCCGCCCGCGATGTCCAAGAGGCATGCACTGTGTACCGTCAGCTTCTCCTTCATGTGCGTTTGATTCGGTCTAGCTCGGTCGGTCTGCTGGTGATGATTGAAAAGATTGTAGTCACATAGTCACGGATTCTCACCGTCTCATAGTCACATAGCATGCCAGTGACGGGCACTCTCCCTACTCGTCATCACACTGCGTCTCTTATCGCTTAAACGGGATTCCCCTGTCCATATCCGGAAGTATTTATAAGCTCCACCAGATTCCTCAGGCTCGGCGGCTAAAGAATTGGAGATCTATATCGAGCTCACTACCGGCCCTATCAGCAAGACGAAAAGCGGTAGCCTTCACAGCACCCGTTTTCGCTATACCGGAGACGTGATCTGGACATCCTCGTCGCACCAAGCGTCAAGCTCTGCTAGCTCCTAGGTGACGAAGGATGGGCCATGTGCATGGGAATCATCGACCATAACAACGAAACGTACCACCTCCACCCGTTCACTAAGCGCAAATGACCCGATGACATTCTTCTGTGAACCTTGCGCCGCCGTTACCCGCGGATGTTCCATAATCGCAGAGCTTACCCCTCCGTAGTAGAAAAGCAGTCAGTCGTCTTAGCTGCATATTGGTCTTCGAGATGATTGCACGCGCAGGCTGACAGCTGGTGGCGGTGATGTGTGTCCCTGGCTCCATCTTGATGCCGAAAACATTTTGAGCTGTCTGGATCTCCTCCGAGGGAAGTTGGTAGCCGGGCCGTTTCGGAGCTCAGAGCCTCGAGAGTCTTGCCACTCAAGCGGTAACAGTTCCAGATGATGGGTGAGAGCATGGGACTCATTAGAACGAACGTGGCCGTGGAACGGGACAAGCGAGGCGTCTGCGAGTGCTACAATGAAATTAGATCTTGACATTGTTGACGGACTTTGAGCGTTGATGCCGAAACCACCCGCGACGGCGTGGACGAGCCGCGCAGTGGTTTGCTTATTGCTCAAATAGTTGAAGACAGCTGGTTGTAAGATCTCTATGGAAGAGCGCCCGAGGTGCGCAGCTCGCGAATCTGTTCTAGCCATGGCACAAAACTTGCCAAATCTCGAAATGGAAGATTATCGCCCGAGGCAGAGTTTTCCCCTGTCCTTAGCCTGAGACAAACTGTTACTTATATATCTCATCCATGCCTGCTTGGGTATATCGAATCACTTTTTACATGATGACACATTTCTGGGATTGCTCGTACGCAGCTCCCCATCGATCAATCCCAGCCGCAACCTCATTTTGTCTCTGTTTTTCCGCGACCTCAGCCTTGAAATTTGCCTCCATGAATTTGCGCAGCTCTTCATCTATGTTATCTGTACGGAGCGTTAGTATGGTCCCAATGATGATTCACGAAGGTAGACGAAGTGGCTTACCTGAAGTAGCCTCCAAAACAACGTCTTCGCGGCATAAAGGACAAGGATCTCGTCCCTGCCTCTGTAGAACAACCATGCATCTAATGCAAAAGAGGTGGCGGCAACGGAGTCTGACCGGCTTGTAAGAAATGCTAAAGCATATTGGGCAGAGATAGTCGCTGAGTTGTGGGATCGCGCTCAAAACCTCCTTGGAGATGATAAAGGAGAGTGCTGTAGCCAGATCCTGCTCGATAAAGAGTGACGCGGTCAGTGAGCTCGCGAGATGCGCGTGCAGCGGTAAGCGCTTCTTGAATTTCTTGATGATATTAGCAAGCGCAGTCCGACTGAGTTCTTGGAACTTCTTTATCCGAAGAAGGTCCTCGTTTATGCGGATAAAGCGGCCAAGGAAAGACAGACTTTGTGTCCCAAACTTGAGTAGTTGGTCGGGCTCTGCAGCTAGAGACCAGGTAAAACGCTGGAACTGTTTCTGGGCGTGCCCAGCATCTCGTGTCCCTGCGTTGGCCCCATGAGAAGAGAAAAAGACCTCAGCTTCGGAATAGAGTTCAAAGATTTTCCTCCATGTTTTGATCTCCCGCCTTGACCGCCGCGATTTGCTCTTGCACAGAGAACGCAGGCCGTTGCCGAGTTGGACAATCTCATCTTGTAGATGTGTCCCCACGGATTGATACAATTTATCAAGGCCTGTAAGGTCTCGTTGAAGCACTTGAAAGATTTCAGACGTTGCAGCTAGTAGTGCAGCAATCACGTCTCCCTGTTGACAGAGTTCGCCATTTTCGAGTCCAGGCTTATTTGAGCGCCAAGTTCGTTCATCGGAAGACACCTCTGGTCGATGCGGCTCCTCCACATTAGCTGATTGTTCGACATACCGGGACATTATTTTCGTCTCTGGGAGACTTAGCCACATTTCTGAACGTATGCTCTCGCCAGGAATAGACACCATGGCAAATTGTGTGGGAACGCTGATTGTATCAAAGTCTGAGAGGGAAGACTGGAATCGTTCACGCGAAATCTTCCCCCTGAACTCTGCAGGGTCCAAGTGAGTTTGCTCGCACGGAGCATCGAGGCTCAGGTTTTCGAGGACAATAGTTGAAAGTTCTCGCTCGACGCGTTCGATACACATTTTCAGCGTGCAGTAGGAGATGGCGTGGCTGACCCAGTCTTGAGGATATTCGCCGCTGTCCAGAGCGGCTTTGTAGATATGGCGGAATTTCATGGCGTGTTTTATGTTTTCGAGATGTCGATGAATTACTGAAGCGGACGACGTAGAAGTCTTTTCTCTATCAGCGATGACTTTCCATGTAGTGACGTGCTCAGTGGACAAATCTGAATCGAGCGAAGAATTGGCAGGCGCTGCTCTAGACGTCTCTGGAAATGCAAATGCCACGAGGTCTATTATCTTTGCGTGTTGCTGAGTCCCAGAGCTGGAACACTACTAGTATATTTGTAGAGGCAGAACTAATTATGACCGTTTGCGTGAGGCCGTAAAGTCATGGATCATCACACCAGGGGCCCAACTATTTTAGGCACATATACGCACTTTGGAACCTATTCAGCTGAAACTACTTCAGTGCAGTCGAACAACTCGGAAGACCCTGCTTGTCACGATTGGTTGGGAATTTGGGTTCCAAATACAGACTCATATTAGGCTTTAGTTATGTCAGAGGCTCACAGGTATTCCTACTGTCTTGCGCTACCTCCTCTCTACCGAAAGATTGTGCCTGGAGGCTTGGAGGAATTGTGCGCCATTATTTGTTGGCGCCACTTTCCTGTGAGATAGCAGTCGAACGTATATCAGGACAGTTGTCTATAAATGATTGCGCCGCGGAGAATCACCCCCCTGCACCTGGCGTCATGCCTGAAGTGGAGGGCAGCGGGACCGTGGTGGCGGAGGCGAGGTGTTTTGAGAGCTTGATGCGATTGGCCCGCTGGGTTAAACTATGTTAGTGGACCAAAACCTAGTGTGTACATATAAGGAAGTTCATATGAACAGCCAATTGTGGCCCAGCGGCCCACAAAATACGACAATGAATGTGACCGTGATTCTGAAGAATTTGACCTTCGACTGGAACAAAGTGAAGATGTTTTAGATAGAACGTCCGGCTGCCCCGCAGATGTAGAAAAGACAGGCCCGGTGGAGGAGCCCGGAGGGATTCAAGCTGGCAATATCCCCCACCAGGACGCATTCACGCGAGGTAGGATGCAGTGTGGCACGCCTCTGCCTTCTGTTGTTCTTGCTTTTAGTTCTTTTTATGAAAGCATGGCCCTGGTGGCTTGCCACCTTTGGATAGATGAGAGCTGGTCTCTTAGAGGTAGAGAGTTACAATGAATTGAGAAGGCTTCTGTGTTGGTGTCCCTGACATGCAGATACGTACTTCAGATCTTGCTCGAGGCATTTCACTTTGAACAAATCTTTGTATGCATGGCTTGGTGCCAGCCTGCGCTTGTTTCCTTCCCAGTCGGCCGTATCGTGATGAGTCCTTGAATTTTAAAATACTTTGGTCATTTGCCATAACTACGTGGAGCTGTCCATAGTAGAGAAAATCGTAGGACTATCACCGCTACATGATGATTCAAACATTACTAATCGATCCAATAGAGTCTCGGCCGGAAATAGGTCAAAAGATGTGACTGCCATGTAAAGACGGCCGCCTCACTACGACTTGAACCTGAAACGGCCTTTGTTGAAACCTTTGTATATGTGAAATCGACCCTGATAGATGCAAGTGACTTGTGATGCTGTCGAGCCTCTATATATTCTAACATCCAGTAAACTCCAGAGCCTTGTATTTTGGTGTATAATCCCTGTAGATCAGAAAGAAAACCGCATCAAGTTCGAATTCAAGACCAATGGAAGCGCAAAGGTGCAGCCAACAACCATAGCAAGGGGATATATGGGTGCAAAACCTGTAATAATGAACATCTCGGGCACCAGATGGCCTAGAGGACCGATTCCCGCAAGGACAATCATAAGCGTGGTCATAATAACGCAATACATCAAAGACCACTTGAACTTGCGTAGGATCAGAGCCAGTTCGCTGACAAACGATAATACGTCTGCCTCTTTTGCAGTCGAGCCCCATGTCATATTGATCGAGAGGAGGTGGCAGAGAAGGGCACGAGAGACATGGACTGAAATACCGCCAAAGAAGCAAGTGATCATCGGTAGCCACATCAAATTCTCGAGGAAGGCAATGAGAAGGTTTCGGTTCTCTGCCCGGAAGCGATGAACAGCCAGACTGACTGTTCCGAGGCAGCCAAAAACGATGGCGGTGCCGAAGAACCACCGGAAGGCTTCGATGTAGTACCAGTCGACGTACGAGCCGACCCAACCAAGAACAAGGTAGTTCATGAGTGCAAACACCCACGAGAATCCAATAGCAAAGTAAGTGCCGATATATCCCACGGTCGTGATCTTGTGGGTGAGATTGATGTCGCTCCAGATGAAGGTCCGGAAGGTCTTGGTAAAGGGTCCGTGAAAAAGCCAATCTTTCATAGGGTTGAAGATCAATTCGCAGCATCCGTACGCATACTTCTCCCAGCGTGCAACTTCATCGTACACTGTTAGGGAGACGCCTTCCTCGAATCCACTGGATATCCCAAAGATGGTGCTGAATCGAGTAATATATCCCAAGGACTGTAGGCGAAGTGCCATTTCGAAGTCTTCGGAAACGCAGTTTTCCGCCCAGAATGTGGTCTTTCCGTCGACTGTCGTGAGTTTGCCTGCTTGAAGAGCGGACCATCTGATGATGGCGTTATGACCAATGAATGGCGCAATGTCGCCATTAGCGACAGCGTTCTTGATTGACGTATATATCATGTCGTTGAAGAATGCAAAACACTTTTCAAAAGCGGTTCCTGTCGTTTTGATCGATCCAGAGGAAAATTGCATGATTGCGACTTCAGGAGAGGTCTCCATCTCGCATACGGCGTCGAGCAGACAGTCTTCGGGTACACGCGTGTCCGCGTCAACAAGAAGAATGTAGTCCCCAACGCGGATATCACCACCAGCCCAACTTCGGCCCTTGTCGGCTTGAAGAACAGTAGACAAGCAGTCTTGGTAAAGATCTTTTTCGGGTTGTGGCGTCCGGTCTGGGTCACAGTGAACTTCATTCATGAGTTCCTCAACACGCTCATTGAGGCTCAAGGCGTAATTCATGTTGGACGCCTTCTTGAATTTCCCTGCTCGAACGAATGGTTCGATGTTGTTGGCAGGTTCTCCTGCGGGACAATGTTTCGGCCTCGCCACCCACCCGATATGGTTCTCCTCGTAGTAGTGTTTCCGCTGCTTCGCATCCGCATCGGAGATTAGCTGCAGGCCATCATCATTAATGAAGATGTTCGCAGTTCCGCCCTGCATTTCGTATGTCGAGACCGCACGTTTCAGGGACGCGATTGTAGGGTCGAGGACGGTCCAGAGTCCTTCCTTGTACACAGGACATTGTATAGTCACATGTGGAAGGTGGCCAGCTCTCCGCGGTGACGGTATGGAAGAATAATGCTTTGAGTTTACCTTTGACTGAGTGACTGGCCCGAATAACTGAAGAAGGCTTGTGAAAACTGACTGGTAGAAGAACCACCCCAGCCAGAGCTCAAGTGGAGCAAGGAGGATTAAAGTGAGTCTGGAATAGGTCTGATCGAGTCTGATCTCCATGACGAGATCACGCCAGCCAAAACTGATCCCCACGATCCCTAAAGCTGCCGTAAGCGCCGTCACGTATGCCTGGGCAAGGACCAAAGTTCGTTTTGGAGCGTGGCCCGGTCCCTCCTCTGCCGAATCCACGTCTTCGGCAGCATGCCGGTGGGTCGACCCGTCGGACGGCAAGCCTGGTAACGACTGTTTGACGTGCTGGTTGGAAAGATGTAGGTTCCACAAGTGCTTCAACAGCTGATCTTCCAGCTTTTCTGTGCGTTGGACGAGGTTGGTTGGGTCATTGTCCCAAACCAGTAGTATCTTCACATCTTTGATAAATGCCGCATACCTGTGTGTACGGCATCGCAAGAGGCCTCTCATGTCCGGCAAGACTTGAACCTGATGGCCATTTTGCAAGCGGACGTGGTCTGATTCGTAGCTTTGGAGGAAAGTATCGACGACGGAAGTACTGACAGTCCACGCCACCTATAATCTCGTCAATATTTTTCGTCATACGACCGATTGTTCTGATAACCCACCTTGGCATTTAGATGGGTGATTCCTTGCAGCAATCCTGGCATTTCATCGAACAAGGACGAAGGTTGACACAGAAATTCATCCTTCCGCCGCTTCAAGATGACTCCTCCTTTAAGCGGAGCGCCACTCCACAGTCTTTCAAGCTGACGCTTGCGAAGATATTGGGCTATCGCACCACATTCAATGTCAATATAATCTTCGCAATTCATCTCCGTCGAGTCCTTGCTGCACCAGGGTTTCTCCAAGGGTGCTGTAGTAGGTGAGCTCTGCCCGGTCTGAGCTTTACTTAACGAGCAACAGTAGGGGCGCGGCTCTTGTGTTGAAATGGGGGATGGGGATGATGGAGCCACGAAGTCACCCATTTCTGAAAAGGTCCTTGTGCTGGTCACTTCAAGTTTACAAAGAAGAATGCAATCTGGCAGGACGACATTAAATGCGTGTCGTTGGACTTCCACACGTCAGCGGTCCGGATAAAATGGATAAAAAACAGGAATTTCGGCGCATTGCAGTTTGGCACACTTTCGATGTTACCTTCTGAGCTGGCTGCATCCTGACAGGGAGGAAACATAGCAATGGAGACCTGAACCAGAGGAGGCATTGCCCCCATTAGCATGCGATTGAACTCTGTAAGCCAAGCCATGAGCTGAGACTCTCCAGCAGAGAGGTCAATTTAGAATTTGGTGAGCTGCGAGTTGTCACCTGAAGAATCAGTGGGTCTGCCTGCAATGATGCGGTACGTAAGAGATATTCAAACCCTCTTGAGTGGGTAGGGTGAGGGTGAGGCTGATGCGATGGCGCCGAGTTGGGGGCGGTGCCTGGATCGCATCGGAAAAGAATCACGTTATGTAGCTCCCGCCAAGAGGAAGATTCCTATCTTAAGTACCAAGTACGCACCAAACTACTCCTGGTTGCGAATGCGATGTCTGGGCTGGGCGAGCATACAGACTCTGATTGGTGATTTGTTAGCTTCCCTGTAGCCAGTCGATTGGAGTTTCCTTTAAGTCAACAAGGCTTCAACCCCTTGATTGAGTTGTCTGAGAAGGTAGCAGTCCAAATTTTAGTCCTGAGGGACTACGTCAGACAATGAGGGCTGCGGTAGTAGTATACCTCCGCGGTCAAAGGCACGGCCCTCGCCTCCCATCATATAAGGCAGAGATTCCAAGTCTGCAAGGGTCAAATCTTATAGAAGGTGACATCTAGATGAAGACTTGGTCATTCCTCTTTGTTTCCAGAATATCGTGTTCAAAGAAGCTGTCTTCGCCTTCCCCGCAGATCATTCTCTTCTCAATATTTTGTGATTGTCTCAAATCGCCGAGAAAAAGAGGCCCTAAGGCTGAAGGTGACTGTTAGGGTACTACCTCTATTTGCACTGGAATCAGTTGTGCACGCGTTGCTTCAACGCCACTAGCCTCTGGCATGGGGGCTAACGTGCATGTCGAGAACTGTGAGAATGACATGGGATCATCAAACCTCAAAATGCGCCAGCTCGCATCCCCTACAACTTCCGACGGAACAGAGGAGACTGGCAAGCATTTTGCTTCCCGTACCTGGAGAAAAAGAGAAATTCAGAGGTCCTGGCTTCGGAAGAAGGAACCACGAGAAAGGTGGATGACTCTCATCCCGCTTATAGGGATTGCCCTGGGCCTTTGCCTGGCAGGACTACTGATCTGGGATGGAATCCGGCGGACCCCCTACCTCGAATACTGCACAGTCTACAGGGACAACTTTTCCTCGCCAACGCTGAGTGATGTATGGACATTCGATATATCGTCTACAGGATTTGGCAATGGCGAGTTTGAAACAACAACGAATTTAACTAAAAATGTTTATATCAAGGATGGTATGCTTAATATCCGAGCTACAGTTCAAGATCCGCCTACTGTTCTCGGTCCACCAAACACGAACATTACCGACCTCTGCCCTGACCAGACCTCTGGCAACTGCGTTTCATATATAAACACCAGCATCGGCGTCATTGCCAATCCCATTCAAAGTGCTCGCATCAAAACGAAGTTGTCTATCCGGTACGGCAAGATCGAAGTTGTTGCCCGCTTGCCTCGTGGCGACTGGCTGTGGCCTGCTATCTGGATGCTTCCAACCAACAATACTTACGGCGTATGGCCTCGGAGCGGCGAGATTGACATCATCGAAAGCCGAGGCAATAATTATACCTATCCCGCTGGCGGGGACAATACCATATCTTCAACACTCCACTGGGGTCCCAGTTGGCAGTATGACAGGTGGGATAAAACGCACGGAAGTATGCTCGCGCCAGGGGTCTCATTCAGCGACAGTTTCCATACTTTCGGCGTGGAATGGACTCCAAAATATATCTACACCTATCTGGACCGTCGCTTATTCCAAGTCATGCGGCACGACTTCGAAGAATCCATGTGGAAATTTGGGAAATTTTGGCAGTATGACAGTCCGTCCGTCCAACTCAGTAATCCTTGGGAGTCTTCCAGCTCTGTTTCGAGCCCCTTCGACCAAGACTTCCACCTAATCCTCGACGTTGCGGTGGGTGGGACCAACGGCTGGTTTTGGAATGGTGTAGCCGGAAAGCCTTGGGATGACCAGGCCACAGATCCCCTAGCACAATTCTGGCAGGGCCGATCCAAATGGTATCCGACTTGGCAGAAAGGCCACGGGCCGGTGATGCAGGTAAAATCGGTTACCATGTGGCAACTAAAAGGCTACAATGGGTGTTAGGGTTAAGTTGTAGACAGAAAGAAGCCTTGAGGCCCTAGCCAGGTTGTTTACACCTTTGCCTTTTCGGATGTTGGAAATGTACTGGTCTGTTTCTCTCAGATTTAGATTGTTGAGGCATGATGAATACCTGTCTGTTTGATCTTGTATCACGCTTATTCGCTTTCCTACGACTCCCTTGCTAATCATGGACAGTGTCGTTACTGGTACTAGTATTAGTCTTAATTTCGGCTGCCTCAACCCGTTAATTAGCAATCCATTCTTCGAGGTCAAAGCTGGATGCTGCGGCATTATTTATTGGCATATTCTGATTTCAATCTTCGTTGCAGGAGGGATGGGAGATGAGGTTCTTTTTCGTAGTTGTTCCTTTTGAACAGAGCACCCGATGAATGTTCGAATGAACCCCCGTGTCATTATCACCGGAATTGGCACCAGATAAAAGGCAATGGGATGCTACATATACGAATGACCTCGGAAGGCCTTGAAACAGCATTCGGGTGGTCATCTTGTTCATTGCAAATATCCATGCCAGCAGGCATATGTAGAAGGACAAGACATGGGTGGACAAGATAGTGAGACAGACAATTCATGCCCTCTTTTGCAAACACCTCAAACCGGCAACAGTCCCCTTGTACGATTCACTCACCATCGACCTTTCAAGAAATCCTAGTACTTCCCCCGCGCCCCCGGATATATTGCTGTATCGCCTCTGAATCGAGGGGCCTTATTATATCACTCCAGCAGCTCGCCATTTATTTCGACATTATGGCTTCTGATTGGATCGACAAGTCTGTACCATACAGATGCATGCTTGCATTTGCTGACTCGTTAGGCTCCGGGCGACGGAATCATATTGGCGTTATCGGAAAGAGTCAATCTATTGCGACTTGGTCGATCCCGGTATGCATCCAAATGTTGCCAGCAGTATTTCTCGGGACAGGTACCTGCGTCATGCTACAAAGGTAGACCTACAATTAGCTTATAGAGAGTTGGATTCCACTAACTGTCAGTAGTCCACCGCCGCTCATGAATAGCAGGCTTGGGAACATGCCGACGGATCGAGCAGATTGCAAAAGAGGACATGTACAGATGACTGAATTATCAGTCTGTGCCGGTCTGTTCGCTATTTTACAGACGGCCTTGTCGCCGTTACCTCGTAATGCTTGTCAAACTGCATATTTACAATGCACAAGATGACTACTCGGTGCTTTTCTAAAGATAACAAAACTATAGAAGACATCGTGATTATATTGTAACAGAGCACTTCAGGGCTCTCGGCATGCATGTGTAACAACGGTCGAGAATCGAGAACGCGTTTCTGGTTGACGCAGAAGAGGCAACACCACAAACACCACCCCCGGAGAGGCAGGGGCTAGGGCAGCGAGCGCCTAGCACGGCGACGGTATTGAGAAGTAAGAAAGGGCCGATAAAACACTCAGGAATAAGTAGACATCAAAAACATGGAATACTCTGTCAAACTGCAAAGAACGGCATACTGCCAACACTGTGAACTGTTCAGCACTCCCCCTTAGTCCTTTTTGGTTTGACATGTGACCAGACAACCCTCCTTCCTGCTAACCCCCCATACCATCCCAGCACAGCCACTTTGCCTTGTTACAATACAGATATAGGAGATTTATACTACTCCTCCGCTGAAGAAATGATACCCGTGTTAATTTTACGTACTTGCTCGCGACCTATAATCAATCGCACTTGGTGTTCTTCGCCGCGCGGCGAATTGGAGACACAGAATATATATAGTTATATATAGTAATTTACATTTGCCATGCCCAAACCATGGTCTCCTTTTCGTCCTCGAAAGACTGGAGCCGGCTCTATAAGCTGGTTATGTAACAATGCATGACCCATAGGTAGTATCTCACATCCCAGATCCAACGGGGAGAGCTGGTATATATACACGCTTGAGCGGATAGAAGATCACTCACATCTGCTTTGAACAGTCAATTTTTCCTTTCCTCCATCCCCCAACGTGTCGGGAACGCCCGTTATGTATGCAAGCACCCTTTTTTAATCATGCGTGAGCTGTTTCATAAACTCCCACGTCTTTCCAAAACACCTTGCTGCTGAGTGTCATCTTGAATGGCCCTGCATCACTCAAAAGACACCTTTTCTTCCAGATTTCAGCATGTAATACATTCATGAAAAGAAGTAAGTGCTATCCTTCAGCCTCTTGACATCAAAGTCACCTCTTTTTGGCACAGGCCGGAATTTGATTGGCAACCACAGCCAAATTTGGTTATTCTGGCTCTTCTGGCCGGTTTTCTTCTTTTGTGTCCGGAGCCTCTGCCCGAAGGCATTTACAGCAATGTGATGTGCTTTTGCGACGGGGTCGGATGTGGTAGCACTGTGCATCATGGTGCTAGCATTTCCGGCGTCGATGATATCTTCGTCGTTATCGTTGGCGACCGAATCTCTCAGCGGATCCAGCGTGCTTGCCAGGTCGACATTGTCGGAGACTTCACTCGCCTTCAGCGCCGCATCCACAATCTCCGCTTTTGCACACTCCATTGTCTCCGGGATTGCGCCGATGGCCGTCTCTCCCAAAGAATCTCGGTGGAACAGATATTTATCTCCGTCATATTTTTCATATAGACTGGCCGCTGTCACCATTGTTTCACCTTCTTCCTTCTGTATTGGATCGTCACTTGCCATCAACTTCTTCTTTCGGATTTCTCGGACCAATTCGACATGCCGTCTTTGCTGGATGCTCTTTGACCCATTGCCTGCAGGAAAGACGCCGTCTGCAATCATCTGCCTACGGTACTCGGTGATGGCCTTCCCAAGAACATTAGACTTGTTGATTTGTGCCAAATAGAAATGTCCATCGTATCGCTTATTGAACTCAGCCGCAAGCCGCCCAATGATGTCGTCACTGTGCATTCGAATGAAAGCATCTCGCAGAAGCTCGTTGAGAGAATTGACATCGGCGGCATGAGTCCAGAAACTGTCGTGGACCGCAGAAAAGCTGAGTCCAAGTTCGTTTGCCTTCAACGCCGAGAGAATCATATGCGTGGCATCGAGGGAGTGAATAAAATTAGGAGGGAACGCCTGCAACTGCTTCCTCTTGTTTACAGAATCCGCAACACTCGGCTGGGCTAGCGTGATGCTCTGTAAATTAGTCTGGATTGTCAATCCCTTGTTGATGCGATACGGCTGCACCACCGGCAGTTTAAGAGGCGTGGTCCAGATGACTGGTGACCGGAATGTTGCAGATTCTAGTACCTCTTTGACCTTGGCTTTGCTTCGACCTGGGCGCTCTCTGGTCTTGTGACCGCCAGAGGCTTCCTTTTCGTAAATTTTTTCTTGCTGCATTGGAGATATTGAGGAACTGATTCGGTTGGCGCAATCGCCCAACCAGTACTGGATTTCATGGGCTCCTGTGAACAGTGCGCCAAGACCTTTGAAAATCTTTCTTGCAATATACGTCGACGCTTTACCTGAGAGCCCAGCAGCTTCAACTTCTGGGATCAGGACTTCCACTTGTTTTCGCACCTGCCGAATTGCACCGAGAAAAGTGACTCCATAGACGTTGGTCATGACAGTCTGTTTGACTACCTTCCGTGTGACTCTGCCGTCAAGCATTTTTGCCAGCGAGTCACCCTTGGCAGCGTCTTCTTTGATCTCAGCTTTGACCAGTTCGCAAACACCACTGTAAACGTCGGCAGGCTTGTCACCTGGTTCCAGGTTGACCTGTCGCGCCCCAGCGAGGTCTCCACCAAGGGCAGCATAGTGTTGTAATCCATTACAGGAGCCATCTTGATGTATTGGCAATCTGGAAATGAATTTCGTGGGGTCAGGGCTTTCGAGAGCGTTGGTCAGTTCAAAACAAGTAGCCAGACATTGCCATGGATCCTCCGCGGTGAGCCACCATCGTCTTCCGCCAAGAGGGTTCTTAACAGAGTCATAAATATCGTCAAGGTGATCCATAGGAAACTGGGCACGGTCGGACAAGCTGGCCTTATCGTAGCCGTAGACATTAGAGAGATGAATTTTCAACCAACGTAGTCCGTCACTGCCCAGCTCACGACCCTTGTCGAACAATAAGAGCCCTCGGCAGTTATCGGCACCCATCTGATTCAGATAGGGTGGAATAGGATAGGCTCGCCCACGGAAGTCGATGTTATGCGGCAAATAGAACGTCTCGTCTAGGTATGCCTTCGCGATTTCCATCTGGAAATTTTGGAAACACCGATTTGAGTGGATACCGGTTCTTTCGTTGTCCATTGCGCGCATCTTGGAGAACCACTCCCAGCGTTCCTTTTGCGTGGCATTCTCGCCGGGCCGTTCAATCTCAGGAAAGACTTTGTTTAGAGGCGGGAGGTTGGCGACCTGTTCTCCGCTATTCCAAGCCTCGAGCATTACGCCGAACACGTCCTTGTTGATTCGCCAGCCGGTCTTGCCGAGGACGTCAACACCGGCAAATAGTTGATCGAGATCTCCTCGGCTTGCTGCAGCGATGCCGTAATCCTTTTGTGCAGTTTCATTCTGTTTGATTCGCAGAAACGGTTGCTTAGATTCCAGAAATCCTCCATCGTAAAACCCTTTCCAGGGTTTTGGCGGGCACACCATGGGCAACTGCTTCGCAATCAGATGTTCAGCGGGCTCGCTAACGAGGAGCTTGACAAAATCTCCGTGTAAGGAAACCATCCCCACTTTTCGGCCATTCTGGTAGGCGGTGGAATGCAAAAAAACAGGTTGAGGCATTGAAAGCACAGCGCCGGTGGTTGGATCCTTTCTCGCGATTGTAATCTTGGCAGTCTCAAACATCAGTTCACAAAGTACAGCACCAACTTTCCCGTGTATTGCTTTGGTCCACTCTTTGTTGTACACGAACGGTCGAGCAGCATGGTGGGACGAACGCCTATGCAGATGCGAGGACAGGGTTGCTTCAGACTCGAAGGGAGACCCGATTATCCCTTGTCTCTTGGCTTTGCGCACGGCCTTTTTTTCCCGATCGATATTTGTCGCATTATATTCGTTTT